ATTCCGGCTTATCGGGGGAAAATTAGCCGTGAGATAATGGTGTCGCACGAGGGGTATCACTGAGCTCGAGGGGATCGGATCGGCGCCAAGTGCTTGGCGGAAGGTAAAAAATAACGCTTAGCGAAACGCGCCACTTGGGGAAATCGGACAAATTAATGCAGCACTAATTGTAATAACAGCTCAGCGTTTTTGGCATATGTGAGTAATAAACGCATACCCCATACACTATAAATATTCGCTTACGGACCGGACACTTGTTGCTTTGACGGGGGCAGGTGGATCGTAGGTCAGTGGTCTGTAAACGGACGCGGAGATTGCGACACCCGTGGGTAAGCTGATAAAGTTCCGTATTTGGCTGTGTTTGGGCACACAAACACCAAAGTTTGTTGTATTTGCACACATAATTGATTGGTTCCACCCATTTGCCCAATCAAATTTGCATCTGATTCCCCTATTGACTCCACATTCCACGCAGTTTCTGATTCGATGGCGCTCGAGCGGCAGACGAATAATTCAATGGCACTTACGAGTCCAGTCGCAATCGGAATCGAGAGTTAGGCAAACATTTGCCAGCGCGCAGCGTGTCGACGAAACAAACAAACGTATTGCCCCGTCGCAAAAGTCAAACTGATCTCTCGCTCGAAACTGCTCGCCACCAGCACCGTCGACCAATCCAAACAAAAAGAAGCCCCAACTATCGCCAGGTGTCTGTTTGGGGCCTATCGATATCAGCAACTTGCAGTCCAAATCGTTTTTAAGTGATTTTAAGTTTTGAAAATTTGACAGTATTTGTATACGGTAAGAACATCTGTGTATTCGTAATAGCGAAAGAAAAATTCAATCGAATAAAATTAATGATTGTAAGGTCCTAATAATTACATATGCTTGTTATAATATAAAAGCAAACTATCAACAGTTTCTATTTAAACGAAGATCGCCAGTATTTCTAAGAATTTAATTTGGAATCAAATCTATCAATTTGTATAAGCTATCAGAAATGTACCTTCCCTACAATCGACAAATAACCAATTCAACTTCAACTTCCTAGTTATATTTCATGCACATTAAGCTTTCCAATAAATCTTGTGATATTGTTTCACTACAATTTTATTTTTGCATTCAGATGCGATCAAATGTTCCAAACTCTACAAATGTTTTAATAATGATCTTTATGCCTATGGTAATTTATATATAATATAAGTATGTAAGAAGTAATGTTTAGTTGTGTGTCGCGTTTAGTGGGTCTCCTCCCATGCTGGCCGCCTTGCGCTCCATGCGGCGCTTCTCCGATTTCTATTTCCTCTGACTCTTGGCTTCATCCATCCCTTATCCAGCATCGGCTGCAGCGTTTAACACCTTTCGGGATCCACTACAATTTTCCGTTCTTAAGTGTTGTTGCTACATATTATGTTTGTTGCCGGCGTTAAATACATACAGTTTTAAAAATAGAATAAAAAAAGATGCAAGAAGGTTGATTACGCTGTAAACAAATATACAAAATACATTATTGCAGACGAACACAGAGTGGGATGGAGAGATAACCACGCGGTGGTGATGATACCGGGAAAGAGACAAAAATATGGTACTACATTAGTATCGGTTATAACTTGATCCATTGCACTCGCACTTAAATCAGATCTGACATCTAGCTTTGTTATCTTGAACAAACAAACAATCATATGTGAATACGGTTAAGACGGGGAGGATTAAACAAATTGGCTGTGGAACTGGCTGGAGACAGCGGGAGGCACGTCACACGTCTTGTGGTTGGCTACTCATCCTCTAACATTCCGAGTCAAGCTTGGGCGGCTCCTCAGCCTTGCCATTCATCTCCTGCAAAATGTCATTGTCAGCTGCCTCCAGCTGCCGGGGCGGTTCTACGATCAGCTTGGAGTCCATTGCCGCCTCAATTTTCGCACCCATGCATGGCGGTATTGCCGTTCTAAACACATTCAGTTCCATTTCTACGACAGGATTGCAATTAAAATTAATGCCTTTGCGCTATCTGACATTTATTCAAATGTAATGCATTTGTGTAACTCTCAGACTCCCAACTTTTCTTCAAACGTGTGTTAATGCATACTGTCGTTTCAAAAATTCGATATATTATTCAATAACTTAGAGAGTATGCCCTTATTAATGCTGTGTTCTTCCGATCCCTGTCAAGCCCCTAACTTGTATTAGACTGATTAATGCTTACCTGCAGCTATGCCGGCAATGGCCTGTGCAGCAAAATGCTTGACGTCCACATCTGTGTCTGCGTTCAGTTTGTCGAGTGTGGGCTTTACTTGGGCATCAATGACACTGGCTTCCAGGAAGGGCGAGATCTTCTGCAGGGTCTTTGCCACGTTGAAACGAACATTGGCAACGGGATCAGCGGCAAGCAGGAGAACTGTGGGCAGCAGCAACTTGGTGGTGATATCTGTGCCGCAGACCTCTGCCAAAACATTCAGGCAGAACAAGCAAGTCATTCCTAAAAATTATAAAAACCATCATCATATATTGATCATTTCAATTTCATTAGGATATCTTACTGTGTAAATAGTTCTTATTGCGCGACATAACCAGGATCATTGGAATTATGGCCTGTTCTGCCCAGGGAGCCCCGAACTGCTCGACGAGCTTCTTCATGTTGAGGGTGGCTGCCTCACGAATAGCGTACACGTGATCGTTAAGCCATCCCATGCAGAGACCGCGCAGTTTTTGGTCGAAGAATTCCTGACCCAACTGACCGGCCAGAGCGGGCATGTACTCGATGATGGCTAGACGCACACGCCACTTGGAATCCTCAGCCAGCTCGACGATGGCAGGCAGAAGCGACTGTGACAATTGCTGGATGCCGATGACGTCGTTAACGCAATCCAGGTTTGAGATGATGTTAAGGCGCACTTCTGGGCACTCATCCTTAAGTTGAATGAGAAACAAGGGCAGCAATTGCTCCACAGTCTGATAGGCGCCCAGCATGGGACTCAAGCCCATGATCACTGAGGCCAGGGCGGACTTCACATGAGGGTTGGGGTCCGAGACAAGATCGCGCACATAGGGTAGAATGGAACTAAGGATGATTTGCACCTGGTTGACCTTATCCAGATTGGCGCAGAAGTCCTTCACTTTAGTGGCCACTGCAGCGCGAACCTCAGCCTCGGCGTCCTTGAGCAAGTACTGGAAGGCAGGCACCAAGTCCACCCGAGTAATCTCCGGACCCACGGCCTTTTGCAGATCAACAAACTTCTCTGCCACCATATAACGCACCCTCCAAGAAGAGTCGCTGGCGCACTGGCGCAGCGTGGGGAGAACCAGCTAAGAAAGAAATATTTTGTGTAAGCCACGGTATTCATGATTACAGTACTGATTAACATACGTGCTCTACATCATCCTGTGGCAGCAGCTGGGCAATGCTGACGCAAGCCTCTACAGCCAGCAGACGAACAGAGTCCTGAAAAATAGGTTGGGATTAATATTTTGTTTAATATAAATACATATTTCCCAATTGTACATTTTTATTTTAATCTATTTCCTTGGAAATGTATCTGCATACCTGATCATCCTGTGCCAGTTGGACGAAGTTAGGAATCAAGTCGGATTTCAGATACTCGGTTTCAACGACCTTGGCAAACTCGCCCAGCTTGTTGGCTGCTGCTCGGCGCACCATGGGTGTCTCATCCTGGCAGAGCTTTCGGAAGTTAGCGCGGAGCTCGGCCTTCACTGGCTGCGTGACGCGTGGATAGCAGACCGAGAAGAGGCCGCAGGCAGAGGTGCGGGAGGTGAACCAGTCACCGGAAACAAGGCGCTGCAATGTCGGCACCACATGGATCTCCAGATCCTGGGCGCTATGCTCAGCGGCCACGGTGCGCAGAGATTCTACAGCCTTGTCTCGCACCACGGTTTCCTCTACGGTGGCCAAACTCTCGAGGGGTGGAATCAAGTACATGGCAAACTCTGGTCCACCAACGAGACCTGGAAAGTAAAGGCGGAAAATGGTTGGAAATATTTCGTAGAAGGATGTACAATTCTTTTGCTCACTTGTAAAGTTGCCCAGTTGGTCGGCCAGGGCCAGCAGTACCTCGTCCTCATCGTATATGGTCTCGGTGAGGAAGGGAATCAACTCGGACCGTGTGCGTTCCTCGCCCAAAGCGAGGGCAATGGTGGACAACTTCTTGATGGAGTTCAATCGAAGCTGTTTCGGGAGAGGAAGGTCATTGAAGAAGCTTATTAAACACGGTGATCAATTGTAGGACAAATGGGTAACTAATTCTACAATTTTTAGGTTATTTTTAATTTGGCTGATGTCGGTTTTATTTAAATAAAGGGCGTAGTTTACCAACACTTCACATTTTTAATAAAGCGATATAATACATGTAATATATGTAATATAAATTTAAAAAAATATCGTAGTAAATATATATATTTAGGACATCTTTAAGAAATTATAATTACGATTAGATTATTCGAGGTAACTATCTCATTTTAACATCAGTAATGGTATTACTATTGATTGAAGATGTGCTATTTTTAAAACACGCAGTTGTAAATTGTTTTCGCAAATAGGTAATGCGTATAAACTTATATGTACACATACATACATATATGAAGGATAACAAAATCCACAAATAAAGAGGGGACAAATACGTTTACCGATAATTGCAACTAATTTTCTCTATGTTATTTCGCAAAGCGTTAATCTTGTGTATATCGAAATTCGGTATAATTTCGATGCACACACTCGCACCAACACAAATGCCTATGCACACACACACACACAGTGACGCATTTTTGCACAAATACAATTGCACATGAAGCAGGGAGTTGGGCACGCTACCCCAAAATTTTAAGCCCTAGAATATTTCTGCAGATTCTTCTTGAGACACAATTGGATTTGGGGTTTTAAAACATGACAAACCTGGACATCCTCGTTCTTTAGTTCATCGATTAGAACCGCAATGGGATATAGTGAATCGTCGACCGATTTGTCGCTCGCTGCCATTTTTTCCGCTGTTGCTGCTGCCCACACACAAACACAAACGCACTGAAAATCGGTTTTTCTATTCTGCAGGCAATCGACGAGGTTTCGATTTGGGCCTCTGGCGAATCGCAATTCTCTTATTCTTCAAGGTTACAAAATAATTTTGCAAGGTATTCTATTCCGTCGCCTTAAATTTCCAAATAATCTAGACAATTATCCTCTGATTGCTGTTCCTTGCGAATGAAAAACGTATGTCGTTGGTGCAAATTAATATTTTTTTCTTCTAGTGACACAACGGTAGAGGTGGAACACACATCGATGCTTATTAGATACTATCGGTGTTTGCGGGTCGTAGCATCGATAGTCTTTTTGCCATATATTCTTTTTAACTGAAAAAGAATATTCGAATTTTCCCTTTTAAAGATTTCCAAGAACAAGTTAATATATCTTCAAAAACTACTTGGGAAATTTTAAGTTTTTTTTCGAAAAATATTTTTAGTATGCTTCCAAAAGCTAATTGATGGAAAGCGCCATTTAGGTAATTTATCGAACATTTAACAATATTAATCGATGTCATTTTTTCAGCGTATTACCGGCTGTTTGTTCATAAGATTCCTGGAAAATACAAAAGAAAGTTATACAAAAAAAAAGTTTATACAAAAAGAAAGTTATAAACATGAATTACACACATTATTCATAAAAAGTATTTAAATTTACTGAGGTTTAATTCTCGAGGAAGGTTACAAACTCGGTCAACTTAAGCAACTGGTCATCGTTTCCACGAGTTGGCGGGGCTTCCTGAACCTTGGGCTTGAGGATCACCCGGTCGCCGTCCAGTTCCTCAGTCCAATTTAAGGCCGCACAGGCATGTTTTAGTTCGTCCTCCGACATTAGTGACAATTCCAATAGATTATTCTGGTAAATGGACACATAGGCACTGCCCATCAGTTTAAACAGCTCCTCGCGTTGCTTAACTAGGTGGATACATTATCAGAATTATAAGCGATTAGTAAAATTGAAGGTATGCTGTACTTAGAAGATCCTCCACGGGTGACTTTACTCTTTCGGACCACTCATATTTGATGTTTCTGAAGAAATCCGCATAGTTATTGTTCTGAAGGGCGATATTGAGCAGGTTCAGCTGCATCAGTTCCTTGTCCTCCTTTAGTTTAGCCGGAACTCGCATCCACAGCAACTTCGCAGCGGCCCTTTAGCACAAGATTAAAATATCTATTTTTTTTTAAATTTATCACTCACAGTTTGTTTTGGTAGAGATAAATAGCAAGTAATTGCTGGTAGACTTCAGCTCCCAGTTCGACTTGCTGTGAAAAGGGTTTTAAGTTTCTATATACAGTGAATATATTAAACAATCACTCACTTCGAATTCCTCATTCTCAAGCCGCTCAACTAGTTCACTATATTTATCTAAATGCATTTTAATGGTAAATTCTTGGTCCGAAAACAATAGTGTGACCGTTTAGCGTGCTGTCAGAAATAAAACCTTCCCAAAGCACTCCTGTATTTATGTAGAGTTTAGCTTACGATAGTACACAAATATCGATCGCTAAATTAATAACACCCTAGCAACAAAACTTACCTTTAGGCCCTAATAAGACTAGAAATAAAAATCACATAATTTATTGTTTGGAATATCACTACACCACGCATTAGAAAAGAAATATCGCTTAGCATTCTGTTATCGATAGTTGCTTTGACAGGTCTCCACAATCGTAGAGCTGTCAACGTGCCAAAAGTCTCCACCTTCTTTTCGGTGTCAAAAACTAGACTATCAAGATGGGTCGTATGCACGCTCCTGGGTAAAAATGCAATTTTTTATTGTTTTCGATGACTGTGGGTCAACCTGAATGCATGCAAAATGTGTCTGCCGTGCGGGACGAACGAATGGATGTGTGAAATGCAATTCCCCGGGGGTTTTAGTGGTTTCATTATCGACCGCAAAGGCAAGCACATGGTGCAGACGTATTCGTGTTTGACAGGCACCGCCATAAACGCGTACTAACAATTGTGTATTTTGTTCGCAGCAAGGGTATTTCCCAATCAGCCCTCCCCTACAGACGCACTGTCCCATCCTGGCTGAAACTGAACGCCGAGGATGTTAAGGACCAGATTAAGAAGCTGGGCAAGAAGGGTCTGACGCCCTCCAAAATCGGTGAGTGCTTCCGTTTATGTTGTTGTTTGAGGTTATGTTAATCCCGATTCCGGTTTTTACAGGCATCATCCTGCGTGACTCGCACGGAGTTGCCCAGGTGCGTTTCGTCAACGGAAACAAGATCCTCCGCATCATGAAGTCGGTGGGTCTGAAGCCCGACATTCCCGAGGATCTGTACCATATGATCAAGAAGGCCGTCGCCATCCGTAAGCACTTGGAGCGCAACCGCAAGGACAAGGACGGCAAGTTCCGTCTGATTCTGGTCGAGTCCAGGATCCACCGCCTGGCCCGCTACTACAAGACCAAGAGCGTCCTGCCCCCCAACTGGAAATACGAGTCGAGCACCGCATCCGCCTTGGTTGCCTAAGTCCTTGATTCGCTAGTTGGTAGTTTGCTTTCAAGTCTTGCGGGGTACTACATTTCCATCAATGTACAACCAATAAACCCAACAAATAAAACTGGAAATCGGAACTATTTTATAGACTAAACAATTGCTGCGCGGTTTATTTACATGGATAATGTGGATTTGATTTTCAAAACCAAAAGCATTTAAGATACCCTTAGTTTTTGAACTTAGTTTTAATTGAAATTCTGTGGCATCTCCAATAATGTTACAACTTGGTGAACTAAAGGCTGACTGAAACAGCTTAATAGAAATGTTTTGAAAACAAGATCGCTTTGAAATATGTGCAGCCGGAAGATTTTTAAAAACACCATGAAAAATTTTGTTTGATAGTGCGCATCTTCATTTATGCCTTGATTTTTTGAGCTGAACGTAAAATTTACCAATGCATGAAATACTAAATTTTCATACTTAATTCTAGGGGTCTTTACATTTTTCTTCAGAATTAGGAAGTGATTTTAATTTTGAAATGGCATTAGGTTCAACAATTACAGCTATTCAAATGTCGAAATTGGAATCTTCCACTCCTATACAGTCACTTGTTGCATGGTTTTCAGCAAGAAACTACAAATCACATATGCACATATTTATGTACAAATGTTTGCATGTATGTGCCACACTCTAGGGGTAGCACACAGGGAACAATTGTACAGTGGTACTTCTGTATTAGGAATGGCTAGGATGTTTGAATCTCTGATTTAACTTTTCCTATGTAAGATACATACATACTTACATATGTATTTATTATATGAGATGGGGGAAATGTTCGAATAATCATTGATTTAACATTGATATTTTTGTGAAAATCCAACGGTTATCGCGCTTCCGTTATAAATCATGATATTAATAATACTAAGATTAAAAATTTGGAATTCACATATGTATATTTACTTCTCTATACTGTATACTACCGTTTGTCTAATATACATATGTATGAACATATGTTTATATGAAGATACATACGTATGGAGCTTCTAATGGAGCATGAAACTAGCTCCTACATATGTACATATAAATATAGTTAAGATTGGAGTTGGAGTTTGTCTTGGAAGATGAAAAAAATATTTAACGATGATGCCATGCACAGTGCGCTCTCAGAACAGTAATATAATTCCGATTAGGCAGTGCTGATAGATAAAATGTTGTATGTGGCAAAGTGCTATATCAAGTATTGAGCAGATTTCAAACTCCTTTGTGTTTTTATAATTAATTATTAGTAGAAGGAAGAAGTAACTATGGTGGTTCCTGTTAGGCAGAGTCCACTGTAGCTCGCGAGCTCCTGGGGCTGGGGGCGCATTTCGTATTTGGAGCCGATAGCCGCCGAAACCGAAACTGCCAGTGTTCAGAATTCAGCATTCAGTAGCCTGCTGCTCTTTCTGGCGCTCGGACCGAAGTTTGTTTTATTATTTACAACATTTGTATATATGTAGTTTGTGTTGCTTTGCCGGGTTCTATCGCGATTTTCTCACGTTCGCCAGCAGAAATAACCATATTGTTGAATGTAAACAATATTGAGACAAGAGTACGTACATAATACATGAGATTCGCAAGCAATGGCAATTATTTTAATTGTGCGCTTGCCGATTGCTTGGTAATTGGGTGCCTGAAAAAATCCATGTGATTAGATAATTTACAGACAAACGAAAAACCATCGATGCGGCCTTTATCTGCGCGCGATTATTGTTTGTTCAGCGATAAATGTAATGTGTTTGCAGTTGTACGTTTGAATAAAAGTTTCCCTTTTTTTGTGCTACCAACAACGTGGTACGTTTCGCACACCCGCACATAAATATATGTATATTTACAGATGTATATATATACACATATATATGCACTTATATTACGAATGGGTAAACGGTAAATGCTCGAAGTGCTTGTTCTGGTCATTCGGGCGGGTGTGAGTGGAACAGGGAGACAGTGAGAAACAGACAATTACAGTGGATCCCAGTTGGAAGATATACGCTTTACAACGTACATATGTACATATGTAAGCTAACCAACTGTTAAGTTACAGGGCTAATAAAAAAAAAAAACGGTAAAACAGAATATATTTTTGGAACGTTTAATAAGTGTTTATATTTAAATAAGGTGTGGAATATGCCTCCTATGAATTTAATGAAAAACCCTTGTTTGCTACAGTGCTATGGAATTTTAAAATCACGAGTTATTTTTAAAGTATGAAATTTGTCACCCCACAGCAAAGGACTGTAAATAAATAAATATAAACCAAATATCTCTCCAGTAATTTAAACAAATTTTTAACTTGTAACTTTAGAATGTAGAACAAGTACGCGGTGTTACATGCACTTCTACCAGGTATTCACTGTACTGCGAAATGACTTTGGTTTTAGGGAACCAAACCCCTCTTCAGCATTGCTGATTCCCTGGGCCTGTCGTTACATCAAGCCCTATTATGACGAACTACAAACTCATGAGCAGTGACACATTCACCATCCCTTAGCACCCAAACCAATGAGTTTTCCACTAAAAAAAAAGTACGTCGAGTTTCTTGGAGTCGTCAAGCCAACGACTTCGTCTATACGAACCGTTGATAAATAAAACGGCAATGTTTGTTTGATTAAGATGTGTCGTGTTTGTGCTCATATCGACTATTGTTCTAGAACCACTCAGCAGAATTACATATTTCCCTTATCCAATACAGCTCAGTTCATTATTTATCTATTCCGCTGCTTATAACGCCGTTTATTTCAGTTCTTTAGAGGGAGTCCAACATGCAGTCGCTGAAAACGGCAGATTTGCCGGAGAATCCCCGGGAACATTCCAATTTTATTTCGGCAGCATGTTTTTGGTGAGCGTAGTACCATATGCACATTTAATTTAAACATATTTGTAACTTGTTTCTTTTTTAACAATGTTTATAGGTACACCATGCCCACTTTTATCAAGGGTCGGAAGCGCACATTGGATACCAAGGATCTTTACAGGGCCTTGAAAGAGCACAAATCGGGTATGGTGAAATTGTGATTATGATTCACCTAATGGTGAATTGCGAAATTCCAAATCGATTTAAGCATAAATACATCATTGGAGATTCTTTGTTATCTGTGCAAGTCATAGTTGTGTATAAAGACAGCAGATAATGAAGTGATCACTCCAAATGTCTACTTCAATCAGACTTACATTTTCTGGACGCACTGTGTGTAGTTATCACGGGAACAATAAATTGTATTGATCGATGCATGCATGTACATGGTACATAGTATGTTCGTTGACCGGCTTAATTGATTTGCTTTATGTCTTCAATTGTTTTGAGATTTTGTGTTTCTTTTTCCAAATTGATAACTGTGGGTATGGGTGGGTAATCATTGTTTTCGTAATCCGAATTAATTAAGTCCCTTGTCTGCGATTAAATTGTGTTAACTTGTGAAATTTTTGCAGAAACTCTGGGAAACAAATTGTGCGCTTCCTGGGAGTTGGAACTTGAGAAGACCAAAGGAAAACCCAATTTGCTAAGAGCCCTTATCCGGGTTTTCGGCTGGTACTTCGCACTTCTTGGCCTGGTGCTTTTCTTGCTGGAATTGGGCCTCCGAACGCTTCAGCCAATCTTCCTGCTAAAACTCATCGCCTACTATACACATGGCTCAGAATCCATTGAGTCGGCCTATTACTATGCTGCTGGAGTGATCCTTTGCAGTGCCCTCAATGTCATCATTATGCATCCGTATATGCTGGGGACAATGCATGTTGGTGAGTCGTAATTTTATCTTCTTACAATTAATTTTATTTAGTACACAACTCTGAGCAATGCGATCCTAAATTAAGTAAACAATTATTTATTTATATATAAGAATATTACTAGCACCTATTATCTCATCCTAAAAGCTGTTAGTCTAAATGATAATTTATGCCCGGTCAACGTTTTAAAATACATTGATAAAAAGGTGACCAACAATTAAAAATTCCGATTTAATTAGGTAATCTGGTTGTTGTCGAACAGTTTGAAACTTTTTTTTTTGCTGTAATAAGGGCTGTAACCAATTATTATTCTCATATATGTATAATTTGCAGTCCATGTTACCTTAACAAATGCTGTTTTCTTCGCAGGACTCAAGATGCGCGTTGGTATGTGCAGCATGATCTACCGCAAGGCGCTGAAGCTGAGCAAGTCGGCACTGGGAGACACCACTGCTGGACATGTGGTGAACCTTATGTCCAACGACGTGGGACGTCTAGATCTGGCTACCATATTCGTACACTACTTGTGGGTGGGACCGCTGGAGACCCTCTTTATCACCTACCTGATGTACCGTGAGGTGAGCAATGCGATAATCTCTTGAACCCAACAGGCCCGGATTAACAAACCCAAATATTTTACAGATTGGAATCGCGGCTGTGTTTGGTGTGGCCTTCATGTTGCTGTTCATCCCCATGCAGGCGTATCTGGGAAAGAGAACATCGGTTCTTCGACTTAGAACCGCTTTACGCACGGATGAAAGGGTTCGGATGATGAACGAAATCATCTCGGGCATTCAGGTGATCAAAATGTATGCATGGGAACTACCATTCGAACATATGGTGGCCTATGCGCGTAAGAAGGAGATAAATGCCATTCGCCATGTGTCCTACATTCGGGGAATACTGCTCTCCTTCATCATCTTCCTGACGCGAGTTTCAATTTTTCTGAGCCTGGTGGGATATGTGCTGCTCGGAGCGTTCCTAACCCCGGAAGTGGCCTTCTTGATCACGGCCTACTACAATATCCTGCGTACCACCATGACGGTATTCTTTCCCCAAGGCATCTCCCAGATGGCGGAGACCCTGGTGTCCATTAAGCGTGTCCAGAAGTATATGCAGTCCGATGAGACCAATGTGATGGATATGAGCGTGGATCTTACTGATGATTTCCAAGGCAGCAATCAGGAAACGGTTCATGGCGATGGAGATGAGGAACGCGACGAAGCTGAGGATAAGCTTTTAGGACCACCAATTGCAACTATTAATGAGAACGCCAAGTTGTCGGAGGCGGGAATCTCGATAAGCGGACTTATGGCCAAATGGGACGTTAACTCCCCTGATTACTCTCTTAATGGGGTAAACCTTCGTGTTCAGCCTGGAACCATGCTGGGCATCGTCGGACGAACAGGATCTGGTAAATCCAGTCTCATCCAAGCCATCCTGGGTGAACTGCCCGCAGAGTCTGGCGAGATAAAGGTCAATGGCTCCATGTCGTATGCCTCCCAAGAACCGTGGCTCTTTTCTGGCACTGTGCGGCAAAATATTCTCTTCGGCCAGCCCATGGATCGCCGTCGATACGCCAAGGTGGTAAAAAAGTGTGCTCTGGAGCGAGATTTTGAGCTGCTTCCGTTCAAGGATAAAACCATAGTTGGTGAGCGTGGAGCTTCCCTCTCAGGTGGCCAAAAGGCGAGAATCAGTTTGGCAAGGGCTGTTTATCGGGAGACTTCCATTTACCTGCTGGATGATCCACTGAGTGCCGTGGACACCCACGTGGCTCGCCACCTTTTCGAGCAGTGCATGCGGGGCTATCTACGCGAGCGAATTGTTATATTGGCTACTCATCAGCTCCAGTTCTTGCAGCACGCCGATCAAATTGTCATCATGGACAAAGGTCATGTTAGCGCCGTGGGCACCTACGAGTCGCTACGCGAATCCGGATTGGATTTCGCCACCATGCTAGCCGATCCAGAGCGAGATGAGCAATCAGAGGAGCGATCCCGGTCGCGATCGGGCAGCTACACTCATAGCCATTCGGACCAGCGGCGCAACAGCGAGCAGTCTTTGCTTTCCATGGCAGAGTCGTGCCTGGATGACCTCGAGGCGGAGCAAGCTAACAACCAGGAACGCCAGGAGGCGGGTCAAATTGGCCTGCGGTTGTACAGCAAATACTTCAAAGCTGGTGGAGGTTTCTTTGCCTTCTTCGTGATGATGGGCTTCTGTGTGCTTTCGCAAGGACTGGCCTCGCTGGGTGACTATTTTCTCTCGTATTGGTGAGGAATTGCTCTAGGGAGTTCTTTGATAAATCTATATTATATATATCTTTACATTTTAGGGTTACCAAAAAGGGTAATGTTGCTTACCGTGCAGATAATAATGATACAACTCGCGCTGAAGAACTTGAGCCTCGTTTGTCAACATGGTTGCGTGAAATTGGATTGTCTGTGGACGCTGAAATGCTGGATACTTATATATTCACGGTGATCACAGTACTGACCATTCTGGTGACCGTGGCTCGCTCGTTTTTGTTCTTCAATCTAGCCATGAAAGCCTCAATTCGTCTGCACAACTCCATGTTTCGCGGCATCACTCGAGCTGCCATGTATTTCTTCAATACGAATCCATCTGGCCGCATTCTAAACCGTTTCTCGAAGGATATGGGACAAGTTGACGAGATACTTCCCGCCGTGATGATGGACGTCATCCAGATTTTTCTTGCGCTTGCTGGCATTGTGATCGTTATAGCCGTTGTTAATCCGCTGTTCCTTATTCCAACCGTAGTACTGGGGATTATCTTCTATCAACTGCGTACCTTCTATCTTAAAACGTCGAGGGATGTAAAGCGCATGGAAGCAATTAGTACGTGCCCGTTTATGAAAATACGATCCATCTATATTTATATTTCTATAATTTTGTTCGTATAGCTCGGTCTCCAGTATACTCGCATTTGGCTGCCTCTTTGACCGGTCTGTCCACCATTCGTGCCTTTGGAGCGCAACGTGTTCTGGAGGCGGAGTTCGACAATTACCAGGACATGCATAGCTCCGCATTTTATATGTTCATTAGCACCTCGCGAGCCTTCGGATATTGGCTTGACTGTTTTTGTGTCATCTACATAGCAATCATCACTCTCAGTTTCTTCATATTTCCTCCTGCGAACGGGGGTGATGTGGGATTGGCAATCACACAGGTAAGCAAACACGGATTACTATTTAAGCGTTGACTCATCCAACCTATCTGGGTTCTACAGGCCATGGGAATGACCGGCATGGTCCAGTGGGGAATGCGTCAGTCAGCCGAGCTGGAGAATACAATGACTGCTGTGGAGCGAGTGGTTGAGTACGAGGACATTAAACCGGAAGGAGCGTTGGAAGCTCCGGCCGATAAGAAGCCACCTAAGTCCTGGCCCGAGCAGGGAAAAATCGTTTTCGACGAGCTGAGCCTGCGCTATACGCCGGATCCTAAGTCGGAAAATGTGCTCAAGTCACTCAGTTTTGTAATAAGACCCAAGGAGAAAGTAGGCATCGTGGGACGCACTGGAGCCGGAAAGTCCTCGCTAATTAATGCCCTGTTCCGACTGTCCTACAACGATGGATCCGTGCTGATAGACAAGAGGGATACCAGTGAGATGGGGCTACACGACCTGCGCAGTAAAATCTCGATCATACCTCAGGAACCCGTGCTGTTTTCCGGCACAATGCGATACAACTTGGATCCCTTTGACGAGTACAGTGATGAAAAGCTGTGGCGCTCCCTGGAGGAGGTAAAGCTAAAGGAGGTGGTGTCCGATCTTCCCAGTGGCTTGCAGAGCAAAATCACCGAGGGCGGAACCAACTTCAGCGTGGGTCAGCGTCAATTGGTCTGCTTGGCAAGGGCTATATTGCGTGAGAATCGCATTCTGGTAATGGACGAAGCAACGGCCAATGTGGATCCCCAGACAGATGGCCTCATCCAAACCACCATTCGCAACAAGTTCAAGGAGTGCACTGTACTGACGATAGCCCATCGTTTGCACACCATCATGGACTCGGACAAAGTGTTGGTGATGGATGCTGGAAGAGCGGTGGAGTTTGGAACGCCCTATGAGCTGCTGACGCTGGCGGCTTCTAAGGTATTCCACGGTATGGTCAAGCAGACGGGTCACGCAACCTATGAGGTCCTGCTGAAAATCGCACAAAAGGTTTGTTTTTAATTTGTTTTTTATCATTAAAAAACCATGAATGTTTAATACTTTACAAATTGATTACAGGCATTCGAAGACCGCCAGAATCACAGTCTTTCCTCATGAGAATCAGCTATTATGTGTTTGTCACCGAATCTTAAGCTGATTAATTATAGTTTAAGTAATCATAATGTTTTTGAATGTGTTATTTTGTGTGAATGTAAATATGTTTGTCCGTGTGTGTATGCTAAATACTTTAAATACTTAAAAATCTACTATTTGTATTTATTTAGCTAAGAGCAAAGAAGTGCCTTTAAAAATAAATAAAATATTTTTTCTGTTCCTAAGTATGCTATTCTAACGGATTTTGTGGCATACCTCGAAATGTTTCTATCGTAATTCTCTTAATTCTGCACTTAAATTTAGAAATTCATTTTTTTCAATTTTTTTTTGTAATTTTTTTTGATTTTACGATATTGTGGAAATTAAAAAAAATTAAGAAATGTCCTAAGGCTGATGTTCCAAACTCCATAACTCAACTTATCTTAATCGGATTTTGAAGTGGCATACCTCCAAATGTTTCTGTCGTAATTCTCTAAAAATCTTAATTTTTTTGATTTCAACAAAATTAAGAAATATCCTAAGGCTGAAGTTCCGAACACCATAACTTAACTTATCTTAATCGGTTTTGAAGTGGCATACCTCTAAAAGTGTCTAACGGGTATCTGATCGCCGGGGAACTCTACTAAAGCATTATATTTTTTTTTTTATTTAGTTAAGTGTAAAACCATGTTTCGTCACACAAGTTTGAGGTGGTTCCTTACCAGGTTTTTGAATTGCTAATATGTATTCATTGTTTTTGAAGAGACTGAAGAGACTAATTATATAAAGTCACAAATATTCAATTTTGAATGCTTTGAATTAGCCTGTATTAATTTCATATCTGTGTTAGGAAACAAGCAAAGGTTCTTCCCTCTCACAAAAATAATGTAGTTTAAAAGTCAATTTCATTTCATTAAAGATAGCTGTATGAGATTAATCCATCAATCAATTCAAATGAAAAGATTTAAGCTCCTTGGCAACGTGGTATGAAAAAGCCCCTAGTCCCAAAGTAAATTAGGTGATACAAGATAAACATTTATTATTTAAAAATGAATACAAATTACTAACAAGTATATACATAATTCATAGTATTTTTCCACTATCTCTTACAGCACATTTTTAAGTCCCATCGCCAAGAGAAGAATCATGGCGCCAAGTGATACCTTCAGACTAGTGCTTCCATTGCACCGATCTGACAAACAGATATCGCACTGATCGGCAGAGTCTTCAGTTATGCCAAGATCATTTTTCACAGCCTGGCAGCCGGATTGTTCTTCGGGCACCTTAACACAACCGCGGTTTAACACTGTTCGGTTAAAAAATATGAAATGAATATCTTGAATAACAATTGAGTTCCAAAAAAAACATTGTGCTCACCTCCGTCCTTGTAGATGCTGTAACAGGCTGCAACCTTGTACTTTGTTGGGGGAGTAGGTGAAGGACTTGAAGATGGCGAAGAAGCTGTAGAACTGGTGGAAGATTCGGACGATGAAGAATCTGTAGAAGCCGAAGAGCTACTTGTAGAATCAATGTTTGTTGTGGAGGAAGCAGTCGACGAATCTGTTGTAGAATCGGAGGTTGAAGAATCTGTTGTGGAAGAACCCAAAGAGCTACTGCTAGAATCATCATTTGTTGTGGAGGAAGCAGTCGACGAATCTGTTGTAGAATCGGAGGTTGAAGAATCTGTTGTAGAAGAACCCAAAGAGCTACTGCTAGAATCATCATTTGTTGTGGAGGAAGCAGTCGACGAATCTGTTGTAGAATCGGAGGTTGAAGAATCTGTTGGGGAAGAAGCCAAAGAGCTAGTGCTAGAATCTCCATTTGTAGTGGAAGAAGCAGTTGAGGAATCTGTTGTAGAATCGGAGGTTGAAGAATCTGTTGGGGAAGAAGCCAAAGAGCTAGTGCTGGAATCTCCATTTGTGGTGGGGGAAGCAGTTGAGGAATCTGTTGTAGAATCGGAGGTTGAAGAATCTATCGTGGAAGAACCCAAAGAGCTGGAGCTAGAATCTGCATTTGTGGTGGAAGAAGCAGCCGAGGAATCTGAAGTTGAACCGGATGTTGAAATATCTGTGGTGGAAGAAGCCAATGAGCTCGTGCTAGAATCTCCATTTGTGCTGGAGGAGGCTGTCGAAGAATCTGTTGTAGAATCGGAGGTTGAGGATTCTGCGGTTGTGGGGTCCTGTGTCCATGTACAAATGGGTAAATCATTGATTTATTAATACAATTAGTAGGATGCTATTGTATGATCCAACTTACATCGTCTTCAGCTCGTGGCATCACAGAAAGAAGAGACCGTTTGAACGGATTGAATGCGGCGATTTTATCCAATCCAAATGCTGCAGAGGCATCTAGAGTGCATGTAACCGTCGGAACCGTTTCCACATGGCACTCATCTCCAACACAACTGTAGCATTCCAGGGCACTCGCTGAAAAAAGTGGTTAACAGGTGAATCAGTAGAATGGGGAGGAGTGGGCAGGTTGCCCGAAGGCCGAACGAGATAAAATTCGTCGCTCAAGAGCGGGCAATAACTCTGATTGATAAATCAAATACCAAGATAACATCGGAACGATTGCCTCACAAAGCAAATCTGACTACTTTCTACGCTCGCATTGTGCTTCTTTTTGGGTTATTGTGCTTGAATTTTCCTTTATCAGATAACCTTTACACTCGATGGTCCCATTTTAATCTGGAGCACGACAGAATACATATATGTATGTATGTACAACATTTATTGTTCATACAAGTATACAAGTATCCTTGTGTTACCAACCGATTGAAATTGGTCAATGTACACACGTAATGTTGTTATCTTTGAACTTGTGAACTTGTGCTTTAGGAATATTAACTTCTAGGAATTCAGGTTTAAAACCAGCAGTTATAGAAAACAACATCTTAAGCTGTTTAGAACAGTTTAAGCAAATGTAGAGCTTTAAAAATCCTGTTACAATAGTATGTTTTTAAAAAGAAAAAAAGTTATTTTTAAACTCTTTTTGAAAATTTAAAAGATTGATGATAATTTTCGATTCTCAATATGGAGGCTAAATGGTGTCTGCGTCAACAAAACTAATTTCAATAATGGAACTGTCCATGGCACTATTTTTGACTGGAATTTCCGGGAACACGCAGATAAGATGTCTCGGTTGTTTTAGTTTTTCCTGTTTTTCGAACTAAGTAAGTTCATAAATTTTTGGTAAATTCCACTTGTACGTCCGTCAATCAATGATATAAAGCTCTGCTTTACTCAATCAAATGTCGTTGCGCTGCACTTTTAGATAATAGTATTAAATGTCCAACCTGGCCAAAGAGTTGAGCAAGCACAAATTGCCATTAGCAAAAGGTTGAATGTGATCACACGCATTTTTCCTTTCTTTTCCTATGACCGAAAGGATATTAACCGAGTTGAATATTTTCAGCGAGGATCGGAGCGAACAAAGTATAGGAATCGCACCACACGACGGTTGAAAGGGAACTACCAATTAAATATAATGTTAACCTGGCTTTTCTGGCTTTTTTATCATTTTCAGTCACTGATAAGCGGCGGCAGCAAAGGAAGGCAGAGCATTCTCATTGTGTAGGCCAACCCCACGGTCTAGCAATAAAAATTATTGGCCACATTAGTCGCCGATAAGGAGTTTTACGGTCCTCGGGGAAGTACTGGGCATTCACTTCCTCAGGATGTCTGATTAAATTCATTTATTGGGTGTATATGGAAGTCCGCGCTGCATTATTGGTCAATCGATCTACACAGGGAATCGCCTCAAGTGGCATTGACCCACAACACAGCTAAAGTTTCTTGGAAATGTTGGCTGATAGAATCTTTCGAGCGTGCAGTCCTGCTGGCCACATTTAGTCATAATATCTTTAACTCGAACAATCTTATCTATGAAAACTTCTAATCAGTCGGATCCAATTCCAATTTGCTCAATAAATCTAAGATATGTATAAGAACTTGGCAAATATAGGCACTTAGAAAAAAGAGCTCTTGTTTCAATCAGCAACATTTTGAATAACAACATTTATTTCTTTCTTTGTACTATATATTTCTTTTCTGCAAAAGATACTATTAAGAAAAGTAATAAATGTACACTGGTTGTATATAAACGGATTTTAAAATATCAGTTTTTTTACGAGTGTAAAGCAAATAAGTTGGTAAAGTAAAAGTGTTGGCCGTTCGCAAAAATAATATCGTTTAATAATCTTGCAATATCAGTGCAGCCAAATGCCATTTAATTCATATACTTAGAATGATTCATTGCTTTCTAGCAAAGGGAAATAACCAGTGTTATGTACATTTATTTATCATGAATCACACATTTTTGGACAGCTGCCTAATAGATGAGCACCCAAGTCGTAGTTACTTTGGGTACTTCTTTGGACATTGGAGCTTTTAAAACTTCTGTTGGGCTTGTGAACAATTTAGAAATAACTTAAAAATTAATTATTGATTGCCTTCGAGTGCAGCTGTTTTGAAAATCAATTACACCTGATAAGTTAGTCTAATCTATGACGAAATTCTAGAAATTCGGCAAGTCCATTTGATTTCGGATTTTATCAATTTGTAAAACGTGCAGGTCAGTTTTAATAATTGCTATAATTGGTTAAACTTTGAGATTAGATAATATTTAAGAAAAACATTCATAGTAGCATAGTAGCATAGTTACGCTCTTCGCACACTTTATAGTAGTATTTATATGGCACTATAAAATATTTTTATTGAAAAGTGCGTGGTCGCATATTTATTGCATTTAGTGATTCTCGAAGTTCCAAAATTGTGTAACAATGTCTTATCTAATCAATGATAAACCATTGTTATTGTGTGTTTGATTTCCTTGTTGATTTTGTCTTTGGGCTTGTCTTAAGCAAATTTGTTTAGCATAAATTGCCTAAAAGTATGCCACCGCCTTGTTTTTTAACATATCATGTTTGTTCAGTAAATGAAATCGTACCACTAGGCGTATACGTGACATTGGCATTGGTAAGGTGTAAACTGTTTTCTTTTCTATATTTAGTTTCTAATGAATTAGTCACTTAATTTATAATATATATTTTAAAATCCCGCCATAGCTTGAACGTTTCAGTTGCCTACTATTTATTTATAGGATTGTTTGTATAAGGCGATCATTTTGACAGGATTTGATCGCTCTGTGCTTTTATAGCTCCATTTATCTTTCACAATATAAAAGTAGAGCCATAAAAATTCTTCTAAAGATATTTACTGAGAGTGCTATAAAGCTTAGATATATGGGTTCATTTATCTGTGCCACGGAATGATGTCATGTATCACTTTTTTTTCAATATATAATCTTTTACAAATGCAGACTCTTTTTACAGTTGAAATAAAACGAAGGGGCTATTTCTTGTTTTAATAATTACACATTATTTATTAAGTCGCCTGGAGCGTTACATTTGGTTAGATTAAGTTTATTGTATACGATTGTATATATTTCGATTTTCGGGCTTGTGCATATCTTAAAGTTACATAATTTTCGAAACACTTAACTATGAGCGCGGACTGATGAGTGTGAGTTCGCCTTAAAGAAACGAGGAATACTAAGACTAAAGCACCGGGTAATGGATGATGATCTGCTCCCTAGTTGCGCTGCAGGGCGAATGCCACGATGGCCAGGAGCAGGGAGGCTAGAATGGAGCTCTTTAGCGCCGAGCTGCCGTTGCAGGCGTTCATACTGCACGGATTGCAGTTGGCCAGCTCCGTGTTGTTGTTCAGGATCTTCAGCTGCTCGCAAACTCCTTCCATGGTGCTCACCCGGGAGCAACCGCGATCCGTCGACATTGTGCCGTTGACTGGACACGGAGATGAAAGATAAGAGGATTATAGTTTCTTATAGATTTCTACTGAACGTATACTAAAGATAGTATTTCCATATTTTCAATACAGCGATCTATGATCGGATGGCTATCATTTATGCAGACTCACCTAAAACCTGGACAGAATAGCAGTGGTAGGTGTAGTCGGTGTCGATCACCGACCTCCGTTGCCTGATGGCCAGCGATGGAATGGGCGTGGTGGTCTCCGCTTCCGCTTCCACCGGCACCAAACGGGTGGTGTTTAAGGCCGCCGCCAGCGCAGCCAGATCCTCGGCGGGTGGCGTGGGCACTCCGGTGGTCGTCTGGACGGGTCCGGCGGTTCCGGGCGTGGGTATCGGAGCCTCGGTGCTCTGGGTGCTCTCGGTGGTCGGATCGTTGGTGGTGGTTTCCACTGTCGTGGTCGTGGACTCCGTTGAGGGTGGATCCGTCTGAGCACTCGTGAGCATAGTGGTTGTTTCCGGCGCTGTTGTGGTCTCTTGCGACGTGGTGGTGCCCGCTTCGGTGGTTGTGGTGGTGGTCACCGTGGAGGCTTCCGTGCTGCCGCCAGTATTAAAGAAATCCTCATTGCACGCCAGCAGGGGTGCATCCTTAGGCAGCTGGGCACAGTCATCGCACACGTAGCACATGAGATCGGCGCGTATTACTGCAATATAAAGAATTCATTGCCTTAATAACATGACTATTTTTCTGCTTATCAATCAAATTATGTAAATCGTCCTAATTTATAGTCCAGACTTGTTTATGATTTGATATTGTCTTATTATTAGTTGACCTAAATAGATATTTTTATGATAATATGTATGTATTTTATGATGGATACCCAGAAAATACAAATTCGAAAATACATTGCCTATTCAACTATCCTCTTTAATTAATTATTTGACATTTTTATGATTTTCTTGCAAATGGCGTAAACCCTTTTTACGTACTTATTTTATTGGACGCCAAGATATCTATTATTTAAAAGTGCTCAATTTACAGCTTTGGCAAACAGAAACATTGCGATAACAAAAAAATGACAATAGGACCAAAGAACATGTGAGCACCATTAATCAATTTGAATCCCAAGTATTTGCCGTATTAATTGCCGATTCTTTAGTATTACGTTGTACGTGCTTTTCCATAGCCTTTGATCTAGCGCTAGTAGCTGTTTTTATCTGGTTTTATGTAGGCGCCCTTCCCCAGCAAATCGATTACATTTGCATGTTATCGTCATCGCAGCAAACGGTAAATATTTGCCAGGTGCCAGCAGGTAAATAGAGGAACCTATCGGCGTGGCAACACTGGCGTAATTGCGTTAATTGCCTTATCAGTGAAGATGGCTACCCTCCAAAAACCCAATTCCAACGGAGTACCAGAAATGAGTCATATCCATGGACGTGTGTGATAATCCGACTTGGAAGTTAATTTCCATATGATATTGATACTGATAGCTGATATCGGAACAGAACTCGTGCCGAAAAGGCAAGTTCTTGCATAGTGACTAACTGCAGCTGACTTTAAGCTACTATCATGCCCAAATATTTAAAATAATTTCGTTAGATCGCCACAATCAAATGGATCAATACATCTCTGCCTAGCCTCTGTTGCTCTGTTGATTTATTATTGGAAATAATAATCATAAATCATTGTGATTGATGGCGAGTTTTGGGGGTCTGAAGGCGGGATCTCAAATTCTGGGGCGGAATGAAAACATTGTTGGGGTTTAATGGCACGTGATAAGAGCCACCTTTTGCTTTGCACCCTTTGAACCCCTCATTAACAGCGGTATTAAAAATTAGTTATTGTTATTATAGTTTACACATTATAAAAAGGAGCAACTTGATGATTTTTGCCACTTTTTCTTCAAGCAAGGGTTGGGTTGTTATTTACTTGGGTAAATCCGTAAAGCGATCTGTGATGCAAATGCTGTTTGCGTAAAAGCAATTGAAAACTCATTTAAAATTCTCAAGTCAAGGGTCGTTCTATCCCGTTTAATGTAGAAAACAAACAAGTTTGAAGTGGATTTTGGAATATATACGTTCTCGACTCAAAAAATGAAATCATTTGCAATTGCGTCAAAAGATCGTGAAAAAGTATTATAAATTCAGGTTTGGTTCGGTTATTTTCTGAATGGTGCTAATGGCCTGACGAGTTTTTCCATTTCGGGCCGTCCGCCTTTGCGAAATGTGTTAAGTGTAACTATAACATTTTCAATTAGCAGCTGCCAGCCCGTTTCAATGTCAACTAATATTTGTTCGGTATTCACAATTTCCCCGGCTGACTTTTCCTTTTCATCTGGGCATAAATTAGAGAGGAGGGCCTTCCCCCAATGATAATGCAATTTATAATCGAATCAAAGGGTGGGAGCTGCCTGCTTCTATGACATTTCCGCAACACAGCATTACTGTTGAATGAAAAAATCACTGCAAATTGGCAACAATCTTTGCATTATTTATGACAGTTAAATAATAATAACAAAATGTAGCGTTTTTAATGTCACTGCTTGATATGCAAGATATTATGGCCAAATGATCGTGATCTTGAATTCTGAATAGATTTCGCTTGATTTTTGGCAACTGCATATATGTATCTGTATCTGTAGCTGTAGCTGTATCTGTATCTTTACAATAGCAACACTTGAGAGCCGAGCGTGTATTTATAGCGCAGGTATAAAATCCTCACGATTTGTTTATCAGATCGTATGATTCCTTCTGCCGTTATCTGGTATCTGATATCTTATATCAGATATATGCCCATGATTTAGACCGTTTTGAGTGAAATAAGCACGTCAAAGTTATCACGACACTTTTCACGATATTCTAATAGCCGCAAATACCCAAAATGCTTCTTTTTTTACCTGGCAGGGCGATTAGCAACAGCAAAGAGCTGGCCAAAACGATGTGACCTTTGTTGAACATGGTATTTGTTTATTTCGAAATAAATATATTCTAGATATATTTCAAATAATTGCTTGTTGGTATAGTATTTATGCTAGTTTAATTGGGCTGTTTGCATTTAGGTTTTCGCGCTTCTCGTTTAAATATATTTATTTTTATCAAGGCGACCGCAGTTTGCGAATTCTGAAATTTAACTGAAAATCTTGTGATTTGTTTGAGACTTTTTATAGAGTTTTAAATGCGGACTGCGCTGCTACTGCGACGTCAGTGGCTTCAATGGCTAAGAGAGTGACTGCCAGAGCGGGACGGCACGAGCCCGATAGAGCGAGAGAGGGCGGCAGATGAAGAGCGGGCCGTAAAACAAGTTTACCGGTTTTCATTATTGATAACAAATTAATTTATAATGCATACCAAACGAGCAACAAATTAATTGATCGCGAAGAGAGCTTCTGTGCTCTTTTCACTTTTCACTGAGGCGTTTTGCTCTCTTAAATAGGTAATGCAAGAAAATGGGTTTTCCGGGTTAAAATCTACGGTTCTTCGGCTTTTCTGAATTTCCCCCAAGCAAATGATTCAGAATCTGGGGATTCACTGCACATTCTTGTACCATTCTTCACAACCTTTTTATTGCACTTTATTCCAGACCCGCGGAAATTCGTTGTTTCCCGATAATTAAGCAGTTAATTGTTAGTCAGCGTGCGTAATCCAGAAATTAACGCCCGCTCAATTACACAATATTCGTCACTTTTTATCAACGTGGATATCCCATGATTATTATTCAACATCAGAGCACGAACAGCAAACAAATCCGAATAAGAAAAAGCCGATCAATTAACAGAGATTTCTTTGTGGTCCGTATTGGCTCACTCTATTGGCACCTGCGCTATTTTTGCGATCTTAGAACCCCCGATTCGCAAAGCCTACCGAAATTTTCCAGTCCAGTAAGCCCCAAGGCCATTTTTGCTCGAAACCTACTTCAATTCGCCGGCTGACCCAGAAAAGAGCCTGAAGACTGAAGGGGCAAGGTCGACTGATAAGCCGAACTTTGGTAAGGCGTGGAGTCTTGTTTGTTGTGTTGGTTCTCGAAAGTTAGGGTTCTTCGTTCAATGTTTCCATTTCCAGTTCAAGATAGCCTAATTGCCTGTAATCTACTCATGCAGCAAATTTAAATGTATGTATACATTCTAGCACTTAAAGAGAAACGGCGTATGAATGGCCCAATAATTCACAGTAACCCAAACATTATTTATTGAAGTCGACTCTACATTTTTAAATAACGCCCGGCCCTGAAACCTTACGGGTGCATTTCGTAGATCGTGTGTCTTGGCCATATGCAAATAACTCATCAATTACCGGCCGCAGTTCGTGCCAAATGTCGAGTTAATCTGGTTAGTGCCGGCTGGCTTACTGACGCATTGTCTGAAAAGCGCAGACGGGAGGTAAAAACCATAACTTCCCCGGAGACAAAAAGTGGATGGGAAAAGTTGCCCATATAACTTCCAAAGTGTCGACGACATCACGTAGAGCGCTGAATGCACTTTCTCATTGGGATTCTCTTTGGATTCTCTGCGAGAATCGGCTGAAAGCCGGGTTTTCGAATGGCTTTTGGGCCTGCTCGTCATAACAAGGTACTTACCGACCCGGAAGTTGACGAAAATAAAACGGGGAAGCGTTTTAAAGTCCCCACAATGCGAGCCCACAAATCGAGGAGTTTATATAACATACATATATGTACAAACCGAAATTGGCAGTTGCGTTTGCGGCTTAGAGCAAGTTTCCTTAAAGTGCTGCCTGGCTGGCGGCCGCGTTTCCTCATCGCTTTATTAAGAACTTTACTTAATTCCGGACCCCGAACTAATAATACCATAAATCTGGCAAAAGCTTAAGGCAGCAATTGCCACTCGACTTCCTAACGCTTATCGCCTATCGCCAAACGGCTGGCCAGTTGATCGCCGTATCACTTTATCAGCCTTTTTCGGGTTGCATGAAGTCATGGCATTCGATTCGATGAACGGGAGCACACGACTCATTCCAAGTCCAGTCTACATCGTCACCAGTTAACGCCAGCGACTAATTGATTTGATTGCGATACGGCTGCAACTGAATGAACGGGCTCCCAGTGAGCAAGCACTTTCCCTAGCTGGTAAAATGAACAAGGGACAGTGCCTTATCGATGCCAATTAAACAATTATGCGAAAATAGCTCAGGTGTGCTCATGGCCCCCAGACGTTTCGCTTCGAGTGGTAAGCGACCCATAAATAGACAAATCATGTGGCCGGTTGATCGGCAAACGCTCCCAAAAAACAATGAACTCAGACACCAAAGTCGAATTCGAATTGTGGGCCATATATCTTGTATTTCTATATATCATATCGATTGTCCACAGCGCGGCTGCTGGTGTCTACTATATCGGATGGCGGATGGCAAATGCCATTAGCGTGAGTGCCAGAGGAGTCCACAGCTGTCCAATGCTTCCACTGGCTGATCCCTTGGCAATGGGCTGGTTGCATCCGTCGTCCTGGCACAGCTGGCACCCGGCCACCGTCCAGTTCTCGAAGAGTCCCTCGCAGCCACCCGTCTGGTTGCTCATCCTGGCGGTGGTGCAGCCCCTCTTGGTGATCGTCGATTCGTTACCTGTGGAGCAGGTGGGAGGAATGAATATTAAGCAATTATTAATAATAATAATTGGTTCCCATCAATATACAAATCATTACTCCCAGTGCATTTCAGTTTGCACTTTGTGCTTTTTGCCCATGACTCAGTCGTAGATAACTTATCGCCATGGGTGGGAGCATCAGACCACGCGGCTTTTATGATTTCTATGTGGAGCCATGGGAATGAAAGGCAGTTGCTTACGTTGGAGCCTCACTGTGTAGCAGAAGGCGATTGGCACATCGAGATCGACTTGTCGTGCCCTCGATCTCCGCTTGCGTCGCTCCTCCTCCTCGTCCTCGTCCTCTTCCTCCTCTTCGCTCACCACATCTCCAGCTGCTGCCCCAGCTGCTGCCCCGGTTCCTCCTGCAGTTGCTCCTCCAGCTGCTCCCCCGGTTGCTCCGCCAGTTGCTCCTCCAGCTGCTCCCCCGGTTGCTCCTCCAGCTGCTGCCCCAGCTGCTGCCCCGGTTCCTCCTGCAGTTGCTCCTCCAGCTGCTCCCCCGGTTGCTCCGCCAGTTGCTCCTCCAGCTGCTCCCCCGGTTGCTCCTCCAGTTGCTCCTCCAGCTGGTGCTCCGCCTGCAGGAGCTATGCCACCGATTCCGGATCCGGGCTTGATGAGTAGGTTATTTCCTGCTGGCATGATGCCTATGGTAGCTGTCTCCTCGCTTTCGTCGTCCTCTTCCTCTTCCCCGGCACCGGAGGAGTTGCCAGGAGCAATATTTGTATTATTCGATTCAGCGGGTGATGGCGACGGAGATGGAGAGGGAGCAGGACTTGGACTCGGACTGGAGACGGCAGGTGTGCCTGGTCCATTGCCGCTCATCAGTGGACCTTCACACACATCCATGTCACTTAGCTGCGTATTTTCATCGCAGTCCTCACATTTGTAGCAACGCAACGCTGGGCAAAGAAGACGTTTTAAGTAAATAATAGCGAAAAGTAAAGTTATACCAACTTAGATTTTTAGCACTTTAAACATAAAATACCTACCCACCTCATGCCTAGAACATTTTTTAATGTTCTGCTTAATTAAAAGCTTATTGTCATATCTTATTTAACACAAATCTTTAAGGCACCTTAATATTTTTGTCAGTTTTATGCTAAACAAAGAACTAATGAAGCCAATAATATGCAAATTTCAGCTCCCATAGTTGTCGAAGTGAAGAACCTATGACCTTGAGATAGACCTTTTCGCCTACCCGTGTGTGCGTGAGGGTGTGCCTTATCAGATTCACCTTATCAGCTGGATTACCCAGGCAATAAGCGCACCCCTATGTTTGGCTCAACTTTTGCAACTCGCCTCGGGGTCAATCAATTAGCATGAGGAGGGCTTACACCACTCGATGATTGGATGATTCGATGATTTATGACATACCTGAAGCCCCTGGGCCCCAGCCAACGAAAGCCAGTAGAAGTAGAAGCCACAAGGAGCGCATTCTGGCCAGGTAGTGGGGTTCAAACTTTCAATTTGCCAAACGTCAAGGTGTCAGAGCAGGCAACTTTCCCAGATTGAGCCGCCTTCTATGGACTATTCTTATAAATATATATATTTTTTACCGCACTGCCGTCGTGTCAGCAGCAGCTACCGAAAATTCAAATCGAACTGGCACAAAGAACCTTCCGGAGTCTGTTGTTTGCTCGATCAAAAACTGAATTCCATGCCCATAAGGCTGGGCTGGGACTTGGGGTTTGACTCATGATTTGCGGGGCTGGTGAAACATGTAGTGCACGGGAAGCGCAGGAAGAAACTACATGCGGCATGCGATAGCATCGGCCAGACTTTCAAATTAAAGGCGAAAGACAGGGAGGGCATGATGGAGCGACAGAGGTGGAGCTATTGATAGGCGGGTGGGGGCGGAAAACTGAAGCATCTTACATGAGTAATGGGAAAATTATCATTGATTGCTGAACACAAGTCCAAAAAGGAGAAAAACACAACAGAAGAAAAATGCGTGATATGGGGTTGGTTTTTTCGGCACTCGAAGGGTTCTATACCGTGTATTACACAAAAACTGGGGAAATAAACAAGGCAATTTGTCTTAAAAGATACTCTATCTATCACAACATAGAACATAATGTGAATAAAATAAGGGCGTGTTAACAAATACATCTTTTTATGGGCCAGCGAAAATACTTTTGGTTTCAAAGATACTCTCTCCCAAGCCCGTCAAAACTAAAACTCCAGCAAGAACCCAAATACCCTTTATCATGATGCCAAAACTGTTATAAAAGCCCCGCCATCGTTATCATGTAGTAAAAATTCGTACGCCAAACTCTTTCATACTGTCATACAGCATTTATTGTGTGCTCTTAATGTTCAATTTAGTTTCCATTCCAAAAACCGCTTATAAACTAAGCAGAACTGAGAGCCCGACGCGTCGCAAAAACATATGGTACTATATAGTGTGTGGCTTTTAGGCAATTTGAAGCTCACGGAATAATTGCTGCATTGCTTTTCGTTGACATTTCCTCTAATTGCACATTTATTAACCTTTATTGCATTTGTTTCACTTTAATTTTAAATTCGCGTTTTGCATTAAGTTGATTGTTTTTGCTTGCGGCTTGCACAGTAAATTTACGACTATCAAATTTCCAATATTCTAACACGAATTCATGACTAGACATTTAAGCACTTTGGAATTTACCTAAGAAATCATATCGGAATTAAAGGCAATTGGTGAATTCCTGTTCTCATCGCTCCAAGCCATTAAAACTAACCATCCGAATAGTAACATAATAAAGCTGAACAAGAAGAGCTAATGACATAGAATGCCAAACATTGATATATAGGATGTAGTACCCTGCAAGCAGGGTACACACATATCCCTACCCCTACTCTTTATTTTCCGGTATTTACTTTGGAAATCGAAGGTTTCAATTTGTTCTGAATCAAAGCGAGTTTCTGTGTGAGTTTTCCCTCCATGTACGCAATGTATCGGTGTATCGTGTGTGCTGTGCTTACATTTCTAGGGTGGAGGGCAGAAGGGGTTAATGGGGTTAGGTGAGTGTCTTTGGAGCACCTGTACGAATCAGCGACATTGCACTCAAATATTTACAAAGTAATCGGTGAGGGTAACGCTAAGGGTAACTCAACCTAAATGCAACCATCATGCCACCACTCGTTCCACGGTTATCTGTGTACATATATCCATCACACGCCCATTCCTTAGCAGCCCAGTTGGAGCGCAATCATGGCCAGAACCGAAGCCACGGAAAGCGTTACGGCCGCCGCTCCATTGCAGCGGTGCGATTTGCAGATGCCGCAGTAGAAGGCATCCTCCGCGGAGATTTCGTCGTCCTCATCCGCATCCTGGCCGTTCCCCTTCCTCCGCTTGTTCTGGTTGCGATTCCGCTGCTCCCGCTCCTCGGCGCTCGAGATGCGCAGCTTGGTCCTCAGGATGTCACAGGCATCCGAGTCGCCGGTGTCCAGTTGGCAGAAGCGCGCAGTCACCACTTTCTTTGTATCAGCTGGTGAAAATAGCAATATTGAGGAACTACTTTAGTTGAGCTCAATATATGAATATATATTCATATATGAATTTATTTAAAGGCTAGAAATCATTATCAACGTCCTAGTGATTCTTGTAGGTTTCCTAATTGCTCACCACCTAAAATGACTCTTGCACTAATGTTCAAATAATTGAAAGTAAATCTTAGGGTTGATAAGGCAACTGAAAGTAACTGGCATTTAATAAACTTAATTGCCACACTATGTGTGTCATAAATAGTAAGTGCTTTGAATGAACAATGTGTGACATTTCACGTGAACTATAAAAATTTTCTTTATCTTTACGGCTCCTTTTATTGACATTTTACTCGTACTGCATATTGCAGATTTATTTCTAACCATCTGATAAGAATTGCTTATAAGCCAAGGCGAGAATGACTCAAGTTCACCTAAAATGTGACTCAATTCTTCAGATGCTATTAAAGATGCAAAGCTATTCAGATTTAAGCCTGTGTAAACAATATTAAATTATACAAGTGCTTCGCAGGAATACTCACGGTCCTTGGCCACCACTTTTTGGCAATTCATCAGCGGATTTTTTTTGGCGCCATTATCGAAATATGAGAATTTATTCAAGTCGAATAGCCAGGTGTCCAGGGATTTCATTTTGTCCAAAGTGCACTCCTAAAATGGTATCAGTCAAATGCTATGAGTCGCCCTACTAGTCTGTTAGTCATGTCATTTATGGCAATCATTATTGCATGGCAATCCTTCGGTTAATTAAAGTATTAATTGCTGTTGCACTCGGTGCGTAAGTATTAATTTATCTTATCGACCATATCGGTAACGATGCGCTTTCAAGATGGCCTTGCTTCAGACCAAAAGCACTTGAACCATATTGTTTAGTCCACATAAGTAGTGATATAAAACGATTCTTGGAAAGACTTAGGTATCCGCATTTACTGAGAAAGGGGAAACCCCATTAATGTTTTCGCGATAAAGTGGATAAACAACAGATCGCAGTGTGAAGATCGTACTGAGCTATACGAAATTAATTCGACATAAAGATAGAATTGATATTGTGCAATTCATAAATATTGTGTGCTAACTACAAGGGTTTTCTAAGTTCTTAGTTGGCCTAAACTTCCATTTCATAACAATAACTAAATGGCTGTATCACATTTGTTGTACCTTTTGCGAAATAAAATCTTCTGTTTGATGGGATTAATTTGACTCTGAATTTGATTCTGCATTATTTATTTTGACACAGAATTGAGTTTCTCGGTCAATACAAGATAAGATTTCCATGATTAATAATTCAGAGAATTATCAGAAGACTCTTCGCTATTTGCAGTTTCGTGGTGGCGTTTTCACCTCTGATTTGACAAATGAAATAAATATTAAGAAGTAATTTGACTTTAAATACGAATTTGTTTATCGCTTTAAGCAGTGATAAGAAAGTCGCACGGGACTTTTCACGAGTTTGACAGTGAATTTTTGATATGCCAGGACAGTTATAGTTCTTGTGGAAATAAATCAATCAACACCTTTAGTTTTATCAACTAAAGTAAGTAATTCATAAGCGTCATGAATAATGTCTATTATAAGAAATAAATGTCTGGAAACTCTTCGTCTTGTTTTGTATAATATTTTATGTAAAAATAATTTTATATTTTATTTATTTACCACGACTAATTTTAACAACTTATTGCTTTTTATAAAAGTGTTTGGCATTTTTAGCAGCATTATAAGCTACTTGAGCTCAGGTGTCGCCACTTCAAATCAAAGTAATCCCACTTCCACCAGAACCTGTCAGCCGAAATTTACGGTGTTGGACTCTGGCGAAGGTATTTCAACTGTTTGGCACGTGGCCGGGTTAAATAGCAGTAGCCTAAAAAGGGCGAGAGATGCCAGTAACAGAAAATTCACTTAGCCCGGAAAAGGAGTAAAGTGGGCGGCGGAAGGTGGGTTTCCACCACAAGTGGACGACGACGGAGCACGTTTCCGTTTCCGCTTTTGTGGGCTGTATTTGCAACGGTTTCCCTGTACTACTCGTATTTTTTATTTTGGTGCTGAAAATTTATGTGCAATGTAGCTTAAATTTGCGACCGTCTGGCGAGCGCTTTTGACTAAGAACTAAGGTCAACTGAAATCCGATTAGGGCGATTAGGCTTGAAGAGGTTGAGCCAACTTGACCTGGCAACCCAGTGGCCCACCAACAGGTCACAGGCCAGTAATCAATCAAGGCGCTAATGGATAATGTCCTGGCAACTCACCTCCGCCTCTATGCTGGAATTTGTGGCCAGATCGGCGCAGCTGGGATTATCACTCGAATCGCAGACATAGCACCTGATGGCTGCGCCTGTGGGATATGCAATATACATTTTTATTTTTTACATTTTCATTGCGGAATTTACAAGCCGCATAGCCGCAGGCAACACACACCATTTGAAACGAGGGCCAACAGGGCCAGTGGCAATAGGATTCCCGACATGTTTCGCACTATAAATTCCTCGCTTTGATTTATTTCCCCTTCGGTTGCAGATTTTTCAAATATTTTCTGCCACTCGCGCGCTGCGATTTTCCCGATTTTCTCGAATTTTCCGCTCCAAGACGCTCCGTAGGTTCTTTCGCTGCCGTTGGCCAAAGGCAAACTGAAACTGGTGGCCAACTTGGCAGAGGCAATTGCCTGCAAGAGAAGACGACTACGTCATCGTTTTCGCCCGACCCGAACCATACGAAACGAAGCCAAACGAAGCTGCTCGTCCTGCGTCCTTCCTGCTTCGTCCTGGGATCCCTTTCCTGCGTGGGTGCGTCGCTTGAGTGGCTCCTGATTCCGACAGTAATAACGTCTTGGCCGCCCCACATGGCAGCAAAGGAAATTTATTTAAATTGCAAAATGCGAAATGCGCCAGCCCAAACCAGAGATGCCAACTATTCGTCAAAGGAACAGCAGTAGGAGCAGCAGGAGCAGCAGGAAAAAATGCGATTTCCTTGTGGCCAAACACTCTGGGCCTCCGCATCGCGGCTCAACACCAAAGCCAATAAGATAGCATGGCAAGAAATTTGAATAATAATGTTTTATTCCAAAAAATAACTGAGTAAATAGAATAAATGGGATATACACAGAGAGAAATGGCTCCTTTCAGTACTTTGTTTTCATATTCCTTGAATAAGAAAATATCTAATATTAAGAATGGTAAGTGCTTTTGAATATTGAAATGTGCGACCTAATTCATCTTAGTTCGGCTATCTCCAAAATGACCAAAGTATTGCTCATACTTTATGCGATTTTTAAGTGCCTTTCAAAATTTAATGCTGTGGATCGAATAACTCTAGTTTGTAGCACTGAAGCTGAAATTAAATTATGTATTCATAAAAAAACGCGAAAAGAGTAGTTTGGCAGATTCTGCTGGAATATGAGTGCCTGGAGAGCTGCGAAAACGTGGAAAAATGAACTCAATGGAAAGGATGCAGATGGGGAGGTGCCCAGAGGATTGGGTGGCAGCCACAAAGCGCAGCAATTAGTGGCACCCAAGAGCGAAAACTCATCCGCGTTCCTGCAATGCGGCTTCCCTATTCTTTCTCCTGACCTCGTCGCATCGCCACAGGACGACATCCTGGGCGTGGGCGCCCATTTATCGCCAGGCAACGCTTGTTCTCACACACAGGAAACCGCATCCCCACCCGAATCCGAAACCGAAACCGAATCCGAATCCGAGCCGTTCCATATCTCCCGCGGGGCAGAGCAGCTGGCAAGCGTTTCCATTTATCATAAACAATGCAGACCGTGATTGGTGTAGGTCGCGACCCTGGCCCCAAAAACCCACCAAAAGGGTTAGCTAATGGGACCGCTTGTTTCTGGTGGATAATCAGGAGTAGTAGTGTGGTTGCAGGTGAATGGGGAATTACCTCCAGGCACTTACCTTGCAGTGGCTTAAAATCATTAAGATCTTTAAAGCTTCAGTGGAATTTAGAAAATATTTTCTGAGCTTAGTTTTATAGCGCATTTTTAATTGTTTTTGTACATAAGCCTTAAGCTTATTAGGGAATTGGGGAGCTAGAAGTTCGAGAAAAACAACTAATAAAATTTACTTCAAGCAAACAGCGCAAGACAAAACTTTTGGGGTATTAAAAGTTTTAACTGTAACAACTTTATTAAAAGGGGTAAGTCGATGTTATCCACTCCAGATTCAAATTTTACCACCGAATAAGGTTGCAAATGACAAGGGCACATTCCAGGCTTTCTGGACAACGGCCATGATGGCATCCAAGTGTTGATGTCATAATTCCCGAGGTGTTCGGTGGGTTCTCCGCATCGCATGTCGCCACTTCATTTGCTAACAGCAACAGGACATAATTAAAACTGTTTATGCACGCTTCCGTTTCCGGTTGGCATTTCATTTCATTGGGATCGCTAGAATGCAGGGCATAATTTATATGCTTTCGACATTTACAACTTGACACATTTTCGTAGGAACTCTACTTCGGTTTACAACGTTTTTATCTTTGCATCGAGCCGTGCAAGTCGGAAATCGTATTTTCTCTCTTTTTTCAGTCTGCCCTACCATGGTCATAAATTTAGTTTTTCAAAATAAGGGAAAACGCAACAACATTTTTTGGGTCAAAAGTTTTTCTGCTGTTGTGGACTTGCATCCGCAAAATGACCTTTAATTAGTTGAAATTTTCGCTTGGCATGCTAATTGAAAAACTTTTTGCTTCTCCACCACATTGATGAACTATTTACGGCTGTGTAGTAAAACTGTGCCAGACAATCCTTTCCAGACATACCCAGCTGAAGCCACACAGTCGCAAAAGAACCCGAGTCGGAAAACGGTGGACTTCTGTGTTGACTCTGGTGTAATTAAGCTTTATTACGTATACGCACCGTTCCACGCACTTTGCCGCCGGTTCCCGTAGCCAATTAGTTTGTACAGCTGCCAAGGACGCCAGATTACCAATACCAGTTAGCTGCCGTGCCAGCAATAAACATAAAACTTTATCGTCGGCTATATCTGCAGCTTCTGGGCAAATCAATCGCTACCAATACTTTTGCAGGTGCAGGAGGGTCGATTTGCTGGAGACTCGGAACATAAAAAGAACTCTTGCACACTTGCAATAGAATCCCACACACAGTTTGGAGGATTATTTTGCTCTACACCATATATATGTGGTACCTGCGAAGGTATTTTATGACTATGTGTAATGGCTGATTGGGGGATTCAACTGGCTCAAGCTCAAATATAAATAAATTTCAATTGACGTGCGAAACCACTTGCTTGTGGTATGGGTTACTAAATTTAAATGTGAAAATATTAGATTGTACACAAGTTTAAAGTTCTTTAAAATAGTTCAATTTAGGCAGTTATAGTTTCCAGTTTCTACTTATATACATATATTTAAGTTATTAAGAAATGAATGTTGATACAATACAAATATTTTTCATATATATTTTCCTATTTTCAGTCACTTGAACAATTGCCAGGCCGATCATCTCCGGCATGCCAAGCAGGTGAAATCAATTTGCCAGGCAAACAATGCCCAAGTACGTCATTTTTTCCAGCAATCACTTGCACTTGACTGCCATCGCCTCAGGTGGGCCGAAGGCTAAAGGAAAAGCGACCAAGAAAATGCAGCGATTTCCTGCTGCTTTCCCCTCCAACCTTTCCACGATTCACAGGTCAATGAGCCAACTGAGCACGGATGCTGGGCCGAAAGAAGAAGCGAGGCAGCGAAGAACTATGGCCGCAATTTGTGGGTGTCTCCTGTGCTGCACGTGCCACACGAATTTGGGAGCAAGTGCAGCATGGCATCGCCACATTGCCATCAGCATCTACAGCAATCAGCTTCTGAGAGGGCGTGACAAATACAAAATATCGTTGCATACTTCTAGGTGGCTGGTGATAATATTCACTCCGCATTGCGTATACGCCACGATGGCTCCGAAACGTGACTCTATGTGCTCTTCGAACAATAAAAACATATTTATGTGCTTTTGGCCAGAACAAAGCCATGCATAAATCATGCAGCTGATTAACATGCGAAATCTGCGAGTCGCTCTTTAATGCTATTCAATGGCAGAGGCAAGGAAAACTTTCTTGAGATTCACCACTGGCAAAACAAACATAGCTGGTTTTAGTTCAGATAAACAGCATAATCAGCTTAAGTGCTGTGTAAAAACAGCACATAAAGGAGATGAAATCATCTACCAACTAGATTTTGTGACACCATCCACCGCAGAGTAAAGAGTTGCATTTTTAAACTAAACCTTGAGCTCCCATTAATTATAAAGCACATTTACCACTGCTATGTGGATGGAAATTCCAACCATAAAACAATGGACATTGCAGTGCACACATATTTGCGCAATAGCTTGGAAAGAAAACAAAACACAACGACAACTTTATCCCCTTGTGGTGTTTTGTTATTTTCCGAGCTGCGCCAACTCTGCGTATGCGCAATTTGGCGCGTAATGACATTTATTCCAGCTCGCTTTTGTGATGCAGAATTTGGGGTAACTCAAGTGTGAAACTTTTACGTACAATATTTTTAAAATAATGCTCTAGCTATATAAGTAGCTTAAGAAAATGTAAAAGGTATTCATTTGAGTACGCTGAATCAAAAATTTGGAATTCGAACAGCTTGAGAGAAAGTTAAAGTTGAGCTAACTTGTTGTACTACTTTAATATATATTTAAGAAATACTGCCTGCAAATCAAACAATTAAAGAAAATAGGAAACCGAGGAAAGTCCAGTAACAAGCTGAAATAACAGTAATGAATGATTTGGACCACATTTTTGGCGAGGGCGCTCAGTGAATTCAAAATCAATGTTTTTATGTTGGCGCCAGGCTGTCCACGAAAATAAAAGGAAGCCAACGACTGAGCAGACAGGAAGAAAGGCTGCCAATGAGCCTGGGCAGGAGGTGGGCGTGGCCCGACCAGTGGGCAGATGGGTGGAAGGGGCGTGGCGGGGCGTGGCGGGGCGGATGCTGTTGCTGTGGCAGTGGCGGTGGCAACAAGGCGCCATTCGGTCGGCAGAACGCACCCATAGACCCATAGACAAAAGCTGCAGAGCCATTTGAGCATTTGAGCATTTGAGCTGGCGACGACAGAACACAAATGCTAACGCATGTAGGTCGGCCAGAAGTTGTATTTGTATTTGTATCTCCTTCCGCGTATCTGTGTGAGCGTGTTCTCACATCTGTGTGTGTGCGGAGAACAAACAAAAAGCGCTCTGCGGCGCATTAAAGTCAAGCAAATGGGCGACACCCTGAGAAATCAAGCTATATAATGTTTAAATTCTAGACAATTTCAATCATAAAAATGTACAAATATTTTGCAAATATTTTGGATACTACTTACTCAATGTATTTTAAGTATAAGCATTGAATTGAAAAACTTGTATTTATTTAATTGAAAAAACTTACATTACATGCATTATTAGTGTAATTAAATTGCACTTTAATTTTACTTAGTTTGTCATCCGCTTGAACCATTTCGAATACATTTGGAAGGCTTTCCTGGCTTTCGTTTTCAGTGTAATCTTGTGTTTGGCTTAATGGGCTAACATGTCAGGGTTTCGTGCTCATCCTCAACAATAAAACTAACAAAGTTGCCCTATTATTTTTGGCCTGCGTAGCCAGTGACTTTGACTCTGGGCCACAAAACAATTTCTGCAGACATTTTGGCAGCAAGTAACAGGACGAAAGACAGAGATAGAACGCCGGAAGTGGGAGCAGGACGGAGTGCGTGGGCAAGTCCTTCTCATTTTCCATGAAAAATTCGATTTTATACAATTGGCGAAAGTTCAGAATATCGGTCCCTGGTAACGCATAAATATTGAACTCAATAGATTTCATTTAAATACGATTCTTATATTTTTACGGTAATTAATTACAAATACAGAATACAAGACTAAACGCGAAATAGCCACGACATAGCTAAATATGGCAAACAGCAAAGAACTTAGTGCAAATTATTTAGGACTTAGCTTAACCAGTTAGGAAGGTACGTTTTGGATGCAGGATACAGTATGCAGGATGTAGGAGCTGAGCTGATCGATGACTCAATGCCTGAGAATGCTGGCCAGTGCCAGACTGACCACGGATCCCACCACGCTGTAGCCCACCTGGCGGGCTCCCAGCAAGGAGGTGGCTCCATTGCAACCCTCCTCCGGACAGGTGCAGATGATCTGCTTGTAGCCCTCGTTGTCGGCGGTGAAGCAGGCGTTCTGGATCTTCTCCGGAATGAAGCCACAGCTCCTCTCGATCCTGTGCTCGTTGTTCTGCTCGAACTTGATCACCGTCTTGCGGCAGAAGGCCTCCTTGCCGCTGGGCGGGATGCAGTCCGACAGGTACTGGTTGTCCCTCTGGGCACGAGGCGTGTTCACCACCAGGCCACCGCAGTCCTCGTTGTCGTGCGAGTTGCACTGGTGGCACCGGATGGCACTTACTGCAAGGAAACACCAACCATACGGGATACGGGATACGGGATACGTTAATGAATTGCTTTTTATGCATTTAAAACGGACACATTAGCTTTCGAACTTGTTCTAGAGTGTCCTCTTAAAAATAGAAATAGTTAGAGTCTTAGAGGCATACAACTCGATATTTTCTATTGCCTTAATGGCTGGGAACACAATAACTTTGTGTAATGTGTGGGAACTCAAGCCCACGAATTAGTACAGAAATGAATTTAATAATGTATTACTTTAGAACCTCCCAGCTGCATGGATTTTGTCCCATGTGCGATAAGGCAAACCGCCGCTTTAATTAAACTACTTCCCCCCTCCTCGACAGTAATTGGATACGTGCAGCCACTAATGGCATTCAAATGCCTCGCGTTTCGCCCTTTTCAAAGTGCCCGTCACACTGACAGAAATTGTTTTATTAGCCACCCACCAGCCCCCAAAAATTACGAAAAACAATGGGCAGCTAAGGCCTCTCCTGACTGACAAGCTGAGTCCTTTCGACTGCAGTAACCTGAATAATTGCATGTCAACTGCTTGGAGGTAACATATAAATGCCGAAACAACCAGACTTTGGCACGCAAACCGTCAAGAACTCCACACAAACTGGGCTTAAATTGATGCAAAGTGCCGTGGCCCTAACTGAAGCATATGGAAAATGCAAGGAGCGTGATTTAAATTTATTAAATAATAAATTAAATACACAAATTTATGATTCAGTTAATGATGAGCTATGACAATGTTGATATTTTGTATAAGTACCTATGCTTATGCCATCAGAAATTATTTAACCAGACTTATTTGACAGACGTAAGTCAAAGTAAATAATTAAATAACTTACTTAAGACCTGGTCGAATTAGGAAATTATCCGTTTCATTGCTCCTGCCTATTAGCATATCAATTTTCCCTTCAGCTGATTTGACAGTCTCCATCCAATTTGGTTAGGAAACGATGGGTACATTTGAAGCCGTCACTCAAAGGAGAATTTACCCATTGCACACAGTGAACCCAGCGAAAAAAATACATTGCCAAAGGGCAAGGACATGCTGACTTGTTGGAACAGTAACCTGAAACTCGTCCTTGTAAACTCGAATGTGTCTGAGCTTGCGATGATTTCAAATGTCTAACGGGGCGTATGGGTAATATTATAACACTTTGGTTACTATTCACTTAATCGCGCAGGGCGTTTGGCAATTAAACGAATCCAGGGCAGTGCAAACAAAAATGCAGTAATAAAAAGTCACCACCTTAAAATTCCACAGCAAGCGCAGGGAAAACTGAATTTGCATTTCTAGCATTTGCCTTTTACATTTGCTGCATATTCATGCGGCTTGCAGTGAACTTGAGGGAAATCGGAAAAGCGGGAGGAAATCGAGGCAGTGGAGCGCAGCATCTCTCAACTGTTGCAGCTTTTCGCTTGACAATTGTTCGCTAATGAAACGCGCGCTTCAGTTTGCCGGGCAAAAGGTCGAGTGCTACTCACTCGCCCCTGGAATGCCCATAAACGTGCATATTTGCCCAACCGATTAATGGATCGAGGGTATATACATGTGTAATATACCTATACCTAATAAATACATACATGCATACAAGGCGTGCAAATACTGAATATATTTAACGCCATTTAATGTTCCCTTAACGAGTGAGTGCGAGTCGCCGAATTGCTTGGACAATCAATTTACTTCAGGCGGTGGATTACAAACGATTCTGGCAATTGTGTGTGCGTGTGTGCATCGGGGGGATAATTAGTTAAAACTCTCGGATTTAAACAAATTAATACTTTGCCCAGTGGTGGACGCAGAAGTGGTACGTGGAATGATGATATAATTGCCACAAACACTGTGGGCATCGCTTAATTATTAAACCTATAAAGGAAATCAAGTGCTTCCACGAACCGGAAAAAAATTAAACAAATAAACAGCAGTTTTTGCTTGCCTACAAAGATGCTACATTTCCATTCAGCAGAGCAAATCTTTTGTAAAAGAGCTGTGCACCTAATATATTTAAAACATTTGTTGATTCATCATTTCTCAGTGCGATAAATCCAAATATCTAGTGCTATTTTTTAGGATGACAATTTGCCATTCTTATATCCGTATCCCCCTCATTTGGATATTTGGTTTCCTTTGCCGTAGAAAATAAAATAAAAGAGTTCAATTAGTTTACGCTCAATCCGGGTTAACACAATTAAATTTGGCGCTTGAATGAGCATCAGTTTTCATCACAAGTTTTGGTGAGTCACAAAAGCGTTTGGCATCGGTTTCCAGCCCGCTGATTATATGGATAGATTTGTTGTGGTTGGTTTGGGTGACTTTAACTGGGGGAAAATCAATCAATGGGCGAACGGACCCATTGGAACAATCCCCAAAGTGTTGCCAATTGGTCTTTTGTAATAGCCATGTAGCGAAAGTGATTTTCAATTGATTAGCAGAACAAAAGCTGGCTGATTACTTGAAACATAGAACAGCACTTACACTACGATTAAATCTAACTAAAAGGTAATTACAGTTTCAGCTTGAAACAATCATAAAAAACTGTGTAACTATTTCATTGCTTAATACTATCGATTTATCTGATAGATATAGACATTTACCTGATAACAAATTGGCGGCCAAAACAAGGCACACGGCATAGATGAGCATAGTGGTTGACATCTTGCGGTTTTTGGTTGCAGTTACTAGATTTCAATAGACTTATCCAACGCTGATGCTGTAAGAAGTGTTAGATTTTCCGTTTTATTTATCAGATTTTTCTGTTTTTGTTTTGAGGTTTATTTGTAATTTGATTAGCGCTAAAAGCAGCGCATCGTTTAATTATCAGCCTCTGGCAATATTAATAACCTATAAATCCTTGTATACGACTTTTATATACACTCGCAAACCGGTATCAGAACGTGGCCATTAAACGTGACAAGTGCAAGTACTGTACTAATGCAACTTTGGGATTTTGTAAGATTTGAATATCTCATGAGGCGGATTGCAAGCTGCGAGTATGTAGATCTAAAAAGTAAACACAAGTGTTTTTGTCGAGAGTTTAAGTGTTTCTTGTTAAAATTTCCAAATAAGTTGAAGTTTTGAACCAGTTTAAAAACAAAGCTTAATACTATGTTCTGCTTAATTAGCTTATATGCATCGCGGATTACAATGAGGTGTCGAAGTCATTGAAAGCACTGGTTATTCACTACAAAGGTTACCTATCAGAATCGAATTGGAATGCTCGTGATTACCCTTGATATTTTCAATTGAAAGCCAAGCAACTCTTTGCGGTCATGGGAAGTTACAAAGCACAACTAAATTACTGCTGATTAATGCGAACGGACAACTGGACGCGAGCACCGTCGAGATGAATCTGAAAACTCGTATTTGACTTTTCGAAAAACGTTGATTTTCAAAAAGCCAGCTCAGCGCGAACGGAGAGCGAGCAGAGCCACTCCGAGAGAGCGAAGAGAGATCGGCCCTAAAGCCAGCAATTGGAAAATATGTAAAACTTCCGTCACTCGATCGTCTTTACGGGGTCGTGTTATATCAACATATGTGCCACATACGAGTATATATACACTACTAGTATATAGGGGGATGCTACACAAGGTAGTTCCCTCGCCGCATTGATAAGCTCCAGCTTCGGTTGGATTCAGCTTGGTTCTTAACCCGAATGCAAAACACGGGCCAAATGGAATCCACCGGCTCGAACTGGTTAGGTCCGAGTTGTGACGTCACTCGCAAAAGATCCAAAAAGTAGTACGCAATGTACGTACCACACTAGACATTGACCTAGCTCTGAGTACCCAGTTACTGTGACTATTATTAAAAGATATCCCTTGTTTAAGGTTCCCCCAACAAGACAGTGGTCGTATTTTAAACTATTCTTCCATCAGACAGAGATATTTCAAACACTTTTGGGTCAGATTGAAATGCAACAAAAAATAGAGGCGCCAGCCAATAAAATCCAATAATGAGTAACAAATAGCTGGGTTTATTTTCGCACCTTTCTCCATTAGAATAAAAACAAAGTGAGGTGAGGAATGCAAAATCGGAAGAGCAAATTACCTACTACATCAATAAAAAAGTAGTAGCAAATTTAGTGGACGGTGGCTTGCGCTCGGAAGTTCCTAATGAAATCTGGAATTCGGGCCGAGATGTCATTGGCTCTGCAGTGTGTTCCTATCGAGTGATCGGTTTGGTTCCGGTGAGCTGGGTTTTTGCGATAGGAGCACGTTCTGACCGCCATAACATGGACCGTACGAGTTCCATATAATGGCAGTTCCTTATCAACGGCGCTGATTAGTTTAAACTGGTTCGCACCTCCAAAAACTCAGCTGTGGTGGTTTGGTCTAGTCCACATCGGTGACGAAGTCCGACATTCATACTCATCTTAATTGGGGAAATCAGTGGGTTGTGCTTATCGCTCCTAGTTCAAGGCGGTACCAAGCGGCAGCGCCGATTTCTTGACTCATCATTATAAGTTATAGTTGTTGGGGTATCTGTGCAATGCATTCGTTAGGTGTACGATTCTGCAAACAATGCAACTAATTTTTAATTTCCACGCCTTGTGGAGCAGCAAGCCACACTGAATATACATACTCCGCGTTCAGTTGCCGGTTTTAGCCAGTTTAAAGTGGTTCTTGGTCGAAACAGCTCTCCATGAAAGTGGAAATTTTCGTCAAAGGCCGTAGATAAAATGGTTGTGATTGTGATCGTGTGGAAAATTTCGGTTACCGGGGTCTATAAATTCCTAAATTCTTATTTTATAATTAGGACATCTGCTCTAGAAATTATGAACTATCTGTTCTTTAATTGTGGTTGCTAGGAAAATAAGTTGAAAAACTTCTCACTCCCCCTATTAATTTATTAAATGTAATAAAGGAATACCTTGTTTCCTTTGCAAGTTTGACACAACACACGCTCTTTTGTGTTAGTTGATGCTTGTTTGGTTTCAAGTGTTAAGTTCCCAGCGACTGTAGAACCAGTCCACTGCAAATTCAACGTGTAACTGAGGCCTGTGAATATGTGATCTTTGTCTTCAGCCAAGTTCGCATTGAGTATTGGGCTCGTATCGAAGTCAGAAATCAGAAATCATAAAACAGCTGATCTGCGAGCGTTTTTGGGAGGTCAGACTGGGAATCGTTTCACCCAAAGGCAAACTGAGGCAAATGAACAGATTCTTGTTTGCTGGAACCGGTTTGCTGATTTCTTTTTCTAGCAAGTGATTTGTGGAAATGTATCTCTGCTGCTCGCGACTTTAAATGCGGACTTCATGATTAATTGCGCATGAAATGAGATGGTAATGCGAAGCCACAAGACGCAAAAAGTAAATAAAGAAAACCTATATATTTGGGGCTAATGCTCTAATTGAAACAAGGGGAAATTCTCACGGAAATAACCCGTATTTTGTTAGAAGAAGCTTTTAGTCGGTTCTTCAACTCATTAGAAGCTGTAGCTTGAAAGCTCAAGATTGCAAAGCTTCGTGTTTTAGTCGGGCTCAATGTTATTTAAATTTAGCAATTTTTTGGCTAATATGTTAGTCAACATTTTGATTACTCGTACTTTAACCCCAATCCAAAGCCGAAACTCTTTTCTTACTGCCGCTATTTATAGTCACAGACTTTATTTAATGCGAGCAATTGAGGGGCATCACACAGAGAAATATTTACCATTTATTCTTGGAGACCTATACATATACAGCAAATTAAATAAATATATTATTCAAGCCCGATTTAACGATGCCAGGATGTAAATGCAGTCCAACATTGCCGAGCTTAGGAAAGAAAAGAAAGAAAAGTAAGGAGCATTTTTGTCAAGTGTACGTACAAACGAAACTGGGAGACAGGGTAAAACGAATCTCCCCAAAGGGAGAAATCTCCACCCCCACGGATTCCTCAATTTCGCGCACTGATTGGGGCACAAAAGCCAGGCAAACCGATCTGCAAAAATATATATGCCTATATATGGTACATATAGCGAGTGAAAGAGAGACTTAATTCAATTGCCCAGCGTCTTGGGGCAGCAATTTGTGCGACTGTGTGATAAGCTACGTGGCTGGAGCTCCAAGCTCCAAGAGGAAGCCTGCGATTAAGCTTAATTAATCCACCGGGCAGATTCGAGCTGGGCTGCGCGACTTCTCCGGCTGTTCACGTGCGCCTCCTGGTCTCCGGCTCCGGATTGAGTGTCGTCTGGACGCCTAGTTGAAATGGCGCTCAGGGTTATAAGTGGATAGTGGATGGCGGATAGTGCAGTGCACTGCCTTCGGCTAATTGCAGATTCTAATTGCGGCTACTTTAATATACATAAATAAAGCAGTGAGCTGCCAGAGTGAGCACAACGTAGGCTAAGTGGCTAGGAGCAGATTAGTAATTGATTAAAGTTTTCTGGAAAATATGTAATCACATGTGTTTTAAAACCACACAACTGAAACTACGTTATCTGGCTATTAGGTGACCTATTCCGGGGAGCACGATTAATGTGCTTGTACTTACAAATATTTCAGTAAGCTTAGCTTCTAAGATAACCTTTAACAGCCAAACAATTGATAGGCCATGGTTGGATTTGATTTAAATTCCCACTTTTAATGCGTGCTACAATTAGTTACTATGTGATTGATTACTAAAATTGAATAAGTAGATATACATAAAATGTTCATCTCAAACTTTGTAAAATTTAGAAAACATATAGGTTGAGAATAGGAAGGCTAATATCAAATGCTATTTCAATTAAATTTGAGAGTAGAGATTAATGATAATGTATAAAATGTGTTTGTATGCTTGAATATGATTTCACCAAAGGTAGCAAAATATAATAGAAACCTATTGAAACCCCAACCCTGCAGGCCAGTGTCCAGTGAGATACTTTTGCGGCCACACATTCGCATCTGCTGACTGCAAAAGTACACACACCGTGGAAATCGCAAGGAGGACGCACACTCGAAAGCTTCGCGGCCAAAGCTCCCTGGCTGCAAGCTAAAACTGAATCCGAGTTTCAGGCTGGGATTGGGCCTCCTCCCAGCAACCAGCGACCACATGCCCCAAAACACCACCACCCACCACCACCCACCGCCAGCCGATGCGATCCGATTCGACTCATCCGCCCCGTGGGCCGTCCGCAATTCGTGTTCGTGGTACTTTTGTCGAGTGCGGCTGCTGCTTCGCCCAGTCGTCTGCCGTTTGTCAACCGTTTGCCAGCGTTTGCCGTGAGCGCTAGTTTCTTGCAAGAAATATTTATATATACATTAAGTGGAAGCAGCCCATGTTCAGCGATAATAACCGAAACTGAATCGCAAAATCTGTGCATTAAGTCGACTGTGAGCGAGCCAGTAGCCCGACTAGTTTAACTAATACTTAGTGTTCAGCTAAAAAGTGTTTCAAGCATATTTCAACAAAATGCAGTACATCTATGTGATTAGTGCGCTGATTTTGGCCATCGCCGTGCAGCAAGGTAACAGGATTTAAGCCAGCGGACTTCCGACGACGCGATTACACGATTACATAACGGAAGCTATGATATGGGAGAGAGGGAGGGGGGCTGTTGCCTGGGGGCGCTGGGAAATGGGAGAGCTTGTGGCGCCGTCCTGGCGCCCCAGCAAAGGGCAGAGTACGAGTATCTGGAGTATCTAGAGTATCTAGAGTAGCCGGTCGACGTGGCGCCTTTTTGGCCACCCCGCTGTGTAATATTTGCATTCAATAGATATAGATATAACTTGGGTGTCGTGAGCTCTCTCCGAGGAGGAAACTTTTTTCTCTACTTCATTGGTTGGCTCTCTGCCGCAGCTTTTTTCCTGAGCTGGGAAGAGGAAAAATGAGAAGGATGAGTAGCAGAAGGAGGGGTTTTCCATGGGGTCGTGGCGCGTTGACATCTCAATTAAAAAAGGTACTAATTAGTGCACAATGTGCTATGCTTTCGCAAAGAGTAATTGCCAGGAACTTGCTTTAGCCCCGAGTTTTTCCTTCCTCCTTTCACCGCAAATCCCTATTTAAATTTTCCCACATATGTGTGTATGTGCGAGGATTATGTAGGACATGCGCACTCTATTTGGTTAAAGGTCCTGGGAGCCAGTTGCAGTTGGCCGAAACCCGAAACCAAAATCCGCTCAGGCTTATATAAAATAAAATTGAATTACTGTTTCGTAAGGAAACCAAAATTTTCTCTTAGGAAATTCCTATATATATTCCTATTAATGCAACCCACATTTTCGCGTTCTAGGCAATTCAATCAAGGCAATTTATCAGTATTTATAGACTTCAATAAAGTCTAATTGGCATGTTGAAAACGTCAGCATGAAAACTCTTTAGAAAATGTTTGTAAGACCTAAGCACACGATCTAAGTATAATGATTAAAGCTACTTTACTTCAAATTAAAGCAATGTTTTTTTCCTAAAATAGAAACAGCTATTCACATGATTTCGGATCATCTTAGAAGCCTCCATACTCGGCACTTTTGTAGAATATTGCATCCCTTTGTGGCGATGAGCTTCCAGCTCTCAGAGTATCTAGACCATCCCGAGGAGTGTTTCATCCTGCAGAGGACCTTTCCCATTGTTCTCAAGTATCTTCGCCCCGAAGTAGGCAGCACATTCTTTCCGCCCTGCTTATGTAACCCAAATGGAGGGAGAATAATAGACAGAAGTACTGGGAGTATGCAGAGGGCGGCGAGGTGGGGCAAGTTATTCGAGTCCATTAGCAATGCCGATGGCTCAATTAGCAAGGCACTCCTAAGAGCCTCGCAGTCTGGCACTAATGGAGGCGTCGATGGCGTCGCTGGCATCGCTGGCATCGCTGGCATCTCCATGCCATTGTGCCACTTTTGGCACAGCGTGAGGAAAAGCGCATCGCAGGCTGCACACATGTATTTCCACGGTGGAGCAGGTGGCACACTGATGGACGGACAAGCGGCACTGGGCATTTCCAGCTCGGATATTTGGAAAATTAAATAATGCGAATCTCGTGTCGCGCACGACCTTAAATTCAATTTAGCCCGACGCTACACAAGTAGTCACCAGCACCGGAGATCTCTTTATATCGCATTTGTTTACACTTGTTTCTTTCAGATTCGCTTGTTTTGTGAAACTATTAAGGTTAAGCATATGCTGCCAATGGAAATATTCTAATTGGCATTAACTATGGCTTTTGAGTCACTTAAGCGAAAGATTGCAGTGGGGTAAAAAGTGGCAGCTAATAGGAATCTAATGGAAGGGAATGTGCACTCAGGATGCACAAATGCAATTACAATTACGGAAACTACTTTGTAGGGCCAGTAGAGCAGCACTTGGAACTCTGGGAACATAACAAGGTTAAGCAACCAAGTGCTTGCATATCGTTCATCAAGTTGTTAAATGGTGTCACTGAGATAGTTATTTGTTGCTTGGTATTGTTTCAGGATATGCCATCAAGTGCTTCGTCTGCAACAGCCACAAAGACGCCAACTGTGCGTTGGACATACCGCCGGACAACCTGCTGAAGGACTGCGATGAGCAGTACTCGTCCCGCGGCAAGGGGATTCCCACGTACTGCCGCAAGATTACGCAGATCATCGAGTTCTCGGTGAACAGCCGTGAGTAGACAATGGGATGCGTTCAAGTAATGGGATAGTAGTAATGGGAACGGAACAATCGTATTGCAGTGCCCCCGGATAGCCGTGTGATTAGGACCTGTGCCTATCAGAACCAGACCTCCACCAACTACTGCTATCAGCGCGCCGGGTTCGGAGGTCGGCAGGTGGTCTGCTCCTGCGATACGGATAACTGCAACGGAGCCGGAGCGATGGGCGCATCGGCGGTGGGCGTGGCGGCCATGGTGGGACTCCTGCTGAGTGCCCGTCAGTATCTGCAGCGTTAAGGGCGGAATCGAGGGAGTCCCTCAGTTGTTTTTGTTTGTTTTATCAATGCATCCACCCAGTTTTTCTTTCGTATTGCTGCTGTCTCTTTGACTTCTGTGACACTTTCAACGCTTTCTCCCCGCCCCGCACATCATTAACAAGGTCCACTCGCAGAGCTGCTCCAGAGCCAGGTAATATAGGAATGCAACCTAATCTGAACGCAAACTATAATATGAAACATATATTTTTAGCTCTGGCCCAGCCTGATTTTGTAACATTTTTTGAATGGAGAACCGTAAAAGCTTTATACAAAGTATTAAATGATAACATAATTCCCTAACTAGAAGTGTATATAAAAACCAAAGAGAGCATGTAACAATTGGCCAATATAATCGTTCAAATCTTTTTACATTAACAGGAATTTTGCAACTAACGTATTAAACGAAATCAAGGAAAATAACGAATAAATAAAACTAAAACCTACCGCAGTTGAAAGTATTAAACAAATCGAAAGTAACGAATAAGTCAAAGATGGCCACAAAGCTAACGATGTTAAAAATTAAGGCTACCAAAATAAAAGTAGTACATAATAAATGTTAACACTCTTCGCCTAAGTTTGTCTATTTTTATTTAACACAAGACTTGAGCAAAATTTCGGCAATAGCAAACATTAAAAACTAAACAATTTTAAAGTAATGCTCAACGAGGCGAACACTTCGTAGAATAATTAGCAAGCAATTGGGAGCATAGTCGTCCCTGGATAACCCAAAATGATAGTTGTGACACGCTTGGGGCGACGACCACGCCCACATCTCCGCACTCCCAAGGGAAAAAACACTCGTTGTTGTAACCAACTGCCAAAAAGGAAATCTTTGAAGTCGTTTCATCTACCGCATAGGCACCACCCAGCAATGAGAAAATGAATACCAAATATTTGCGATATCCTGTAGGGGAAACACCAATGAAACCTTTTGTCCAAAGTAGCAATAATTGCGGTTGCAGAATCAAAGGAATACATTAAAACGTTACAGAAACCAAAGCAACAAATACATTGTTTTTAGTTCTTTTAGCAAAATAACAGTTTATAGTAAAAATTTTTTTAGTTAAGAATCTCCTCTCAAATGCAATATTTGTAATGCAATAAAATTGTAAAATGTTTAAAGTGAAAAACAATAAATATGAATACAAAAGACCAATGTGTTTAGTGGCCAGAGATCATTTCTGAGAATTAAAAAAGATTAAATTAAACGACTAATTGGAAAAGGCTTCAAAATCATTCGGTAACCAGACACGTTAAAGCGTTTTATTTCGCTTAAATCTAAACTCGACAAACTATTCTTAAAATTTCTCGGATTTTCAACAAATTCGTTTGCAATCTTTAGTAAAAGCATAGATAATTGAGGTAACAATACGATGATAGTTTACAAAATAGTCAATCTTTCTGGAATCACTCCAAGGCCCTCACTAAATCAAATGAAAATCGCTTAAATTCCGTGACATAAAAAACTGAGAAATCAAAGATAAGCGGCTTGTGGCATGATAAAATGGATTGCAAGAGACTGGATACAAGTGTTCAGCATGGGGCAGCTAGGTGTCCTTGTGAACCACCCTTTGGAGGGCCAGGAAGCAGTGGCGGGTGCTCAGATCATGGTAGCCCACGGGTCCTCGCTCGCAGTCTGCACAAACCAGGAACTTTCTGCCGTCCACCGTGTTGGAGAACCCGATGTTCTCGAACGTCATCATGTCCTTGACCAGCCAGAAGTCCTTCAGTGGCTCGCTGTTCAGGCTGTCCGCCGTTTGGTCCTGTTTCTGCATCATCAGTGGCACATCCACCTGGCCGCAAAGAAACGTAAACAATTAGATGGTTTGCCCAGTCAAAAGGGCTTAGCCATCTCGCACTCACCTTCTCCTGGTTGTAGGCGCCCTCCTGGGCTTTCAGCATCAAACTGTTGCAGAACTGGCAGCGCACATTTGATTTGTTTTTTCCATCTGTGATTTGCTCGCTAAAATCGGCTTCCTCTGTCATTTTGTATAGATTTCTCTCAATTTTGCACCGAACGCATAAAAGGTAATCAGTTGATACTTAAGCAGTCGCTTTACAACACTGAGTCGTTGAGTGGTCACACTGGTGTTATCGATAGACGATACTTATCGCCGCCGTTAAGCCACAAATTCAAAATTTGAGTTTCCGTTTCCGTTCGTACCGACAAAATTAAAAAAAAAAAGTTATGTGAACTCTACAAACATTTGTGTAAAATTCTCATTGTAATCTGTTATTTTACTCCCTTAATAAGTTATTACAAATGGCTTACAACATCTAATTTCAACCAAACACAATCATTTGGCACAATATTTCGTAGCAACTTGCAATTACGTCTCGAGGAGTACAGAACCGCTAGCCTGTGTCGATCCAAGAGACGATATATTTGAATACCCTGTAAAAATATTGTCACTCAACACTAATCCAGAGCTTTGGTCTTACTAAAAGCATGCGATGTGGGAATTGAAAGGCGATAGCTCCATGGATTGCTTGGCAACTCTGGTGGCCGTTTTGAAAAAAAATTCCCTTTTCTGTTCTGAATTCCTAGGGAGCAGACCGGTCTTAAATCTTCGGCAGCTGACACTGTGTAGTCAGGAAATACCAACACTTTAGTCCGTGTAAGTTGCTACAAAGAATAACACAATCCACATGTGACTTGGAACGGATAACCTTAAAATCGAGAAACAAATTCTAAGCATACCTTTTTGCTTTCCCAACTGTTTTCTTTTTAGTTTTAAACCTCATTCTTAGGCAGGATCATGAACATCCCCATATATCAAGTGCCCTCGGTGACCATGCAGTCGATGCACCAGCAGCAATCCTTGTACCAGCAAACCTATTTGGATCGCAATCGCATGGTCACCGATGTATTTGTGCATAAACACGTCTCGCAGAGTTCTTGGTCAATGGGCCCGGCCGGTCCATCGGCTGTTTTTGTACCGGGTATTGCCAATTGCCCCATTATGACCGCAAGTACCCATGGACATTCTCATCATAGCGCCACGATTCAGGCTATGAATCCCCATTTCACGACCTATATGCCCTTTCCGGGTATGCAGTACTATGCGGCCAGCTCGGGTGCGTTCTGGTTACCCTAGAGTAAACACTATTTCATTGATTACCACTTCCCTCCAGCCTCGATGAACGCCTATGGCCCTAATCAGGTGTATTCCGCTCGTGCTTCGGCCTCTGCCGGTCTCTATTTGCCACAGTACCACGGAAACTGCAGTCATGCCCCGCCGAAAAAGCAGTTCTGTGCCGCTTACACCCAGACCCAAGAGCCCGTTAAGACCGGCTGCGATGTGGCCACGCAGGTGGATGTCGGCCTTGAAGTAGTGAGCTCCAAGAAGCCAGGACCAGTGCCTATTTCAGACCGGTAAGGCTAAATCCTCTTAAAACATCTCCCAAAATATTTGGATTGTATGTATTAATGTAGTAAGCTACTAAAATAATAACTATAGTTAAGTTGTTTAAAAAGTTGCAGAAAATCTCAATTATTTTAACACTTTTATATTTTTGAATTAAATAATTAGAAATCATACGTTTCAGTGTTGTTCCTGAAGAATCGAGCGTTAGTTCTTTGGAAAGCGGTGCAGGAGATGGTTTGCGAGTCCAAAACTTGCTGCGCAACTCGGAGGTGATGTTGCTGGAACAGCGCCTCCACGACATCACTAGAGTTTCACTGCAGGGCAGTGAGATAGCCGAACGTCTGGCCAATGCTCATCGCAATCGTCCGTGCTTCAAGAAGATCGATACTCTGTGTGCTCGCTTGAAGCAGGATTTGCTGCGTCCAGATGGCGTGCTGCCCAACATCAACTCCCAGGGGATTGCTTGGGCCGTTAAGGACTTCATCTTCGTCTTTACTCGCATAGTAAATGCATGGGTCATTCTGAAGGGCTATGTCTATAACACCCCCGATGCTTTAAACAAGATTAAAGACGAGCTGCCGACTGGTTTTATGGCTTCCTTTGATTCCTGGCAGGTCTCGACGCTGTCCCTTGTTCAGATGATTATAAAATCCTTCGTGAGTCTGGATGACCTGCTGCAGAAGCAGAAAAACAGCTTTTCTGGAAAGGATGGGGCTCTTATGAACGTGAACAGTAGCAGCTCTCTAAGAAGTTTTATAGATAGCAATGATAGCAGCAGCTTGGGACAGAAACACCAAGGGATGACTACTGGGCAAGGTCCCAGTGCCTTTAGTACACCGCAGAATCAAATACGGAATGCAGTTGCAGATTGTCAAGAGCCCACATCATCTGCCCTTTACAAACCAAAATGTGCTTTAAATCTGAACTATCTGTACACCATGATTGAGGACTCGGAGGAAACCCAACGCAATGTGAATGCCAATGGTACTTATCTTAAAACCGGAACCTATCAACCACTGCAAAAGGAGTCGAAGCAACTGGAGATGCCGCCTTCAAAGCCGAAGGACCAATACGTGGAGTGGAATGCTGCACAACATGCTTTGCCTGCTCAAGAGATTCCTAATGCTCCAACTCCGAAAGCATCTCCGATGCCGGAGCGTCTGCAAGATGTAAGGGCGTTCACAAATCCATTTAGCCTGATCGGAAAAGAGGTTACCCGTCAGCTGTACGAGTTCAGTGACCGCGTCATGGAGCTCAATCACTTGGAGCGCTTCTTTAAAAAGCAGTTCACTCGCAACTATGTCAGTTTTCTTAGTTTATTTTCTATAGCTGTTTATTAATTTTACTACACTTTCAGTACCCAGATTTCTATCAGCAATGCCAGGATGAATTTATAGATGTGCGAGCCATTATTGTGCAGTGCGAGAATGCCTCGTACCATCATATTTATCAGGCTATTCATGATCTGCGCCGGATCATCTTTACGGTGCGCTGTTACCTGAAGGTATTGGTTTGATTCCATGCAGCCGTCTGTTACACTCTATACAACTTTTTGTTTTCGAATGCCATCCGCTGCTGCATTTATAGGTCAAGGAATGAATGTATCCAATACAAGGTATCAGTATGAGTGGGCCATTTAATGGACTAATGTACTAATCACTGGTCTCATTCGGGCACTAATCTCATATACAACATATTAACAAGATCACCCATTAACTACTTAACCACTTTCACAACCAGCATTATGCATTACTAATCCTGATTTTATCAATATCCTAGATGTACTCAGACGAAAACCTTCTTTACTACATTGACCTCTACGAGCGCTCCGTGAATGAAATGCTGTCCAAGCCACCACACTTGCCCAATCAGTACGATCACATTATGGGCAGGCCGGGCGAAAAGCTGTTCAACTACGAAATCTGAGTGAACAAGTATGGATATCGTGGTCATCAACGGAAAGTTTACTGATTCACGTGGCTTATTACGCCAGTTTAATACAACTACGCGTAAATTCATTTAATTTCGATATCTATTCAGCGAACCACAGTGCCTTAACAAAATTTTGTAAAATCCATGATATATATACATATATATATATATCCGATTCTTCAATACCCAAAACTCCTGCTTTACGCTCGCATCAATTATTCAGCATGTAATACACGTCTTATATTTTATAATGTAATATTTATAATATAACGTTTTTGTACACATTGTACGGATCCAACTGCATTCACTACAATAATAGTATGTCAATCAAATTTAAATTTGTACAATGAAATAAAAATAGAGAAAAGTGATGTTAGTTCTCATCAAATTTCCTAATTTTGAATGTAACTCATAATGGAATCGTTAGTTAGGAACACAAGTATAATATAAATTAAACGAAATAATAAATAATATTGTATAACAATTGACTTATATACAATTGGTAGTTCATAATCTTTACTTAGTGCTAATTCGATCTGATGAAGTCCTCTGGATTAATGTCCTGGGCCAATAGCATGCCATAAAAGATAGTTGAGCTGTCTGAGGCCAGGCTTTGGGGATTGCCTTCCTCACAAATCCGTCCATCATCCAGCACTATTATGCGATCCATGGCGTGCAGTCCGCGCAAGCGATGTGCGATGAAGAGGAGTGTGCAACTCTTGAAAGCATTTCTTAAGGCCTGCTGAATGCTCAGATCAGATTCGTCGTCTAAGCTGGAAGTGCCCTCATCGATGGCCACCACCTTGGCGTTTTTGAGCAGGGCCCTTGCCAAGCAAAGAAGTTGCCTTTGACCGGCGGATAGGTTGTTGCCACATGTCTCAACTTTGCCGTCCAACCCACCCAACTGCTGAACGAGCAGAGTAGCCGCTGCGGAGTTCTTAATGGCGTGCCAGATCTCCGAGTCGTAGAACCCATGACGCGGATCCAGATTTTCCCGCACAGTGCCTGAGGAACGTTAAGATATATTATTACGTTTCTAATAAGAGTTTACATTAGAAAATCGTTACACTGACCTTCAAAGAGGAAGGGCTCCTGAGTGATAACTCCGATTCGTTCCCGAAGCATACTCAAAGGCAATGTTTTTAGATTCACCTGATCCAATCGAATCTCTCCGTGCGACAATGGTGCCACTCGCAGAAGGGCAGCTAACACAGAAGTTTTACCAGCTCCAGTACGTCCAACAATGCCAATTCGCTCGAAGGCTTCGGTTTGGAAGGTTATACCTCTTAAAGCCGGCGCCAAGTGCTCTCTGTAGCTTAGCTGGACTTCCCGAAAACTTAGAACTCCTTGGGTAGGCCATCCAAAAGGAGGCTCAGCGCTGCCGGAGGCATTCTGCTCTTCCTCCAGCTGCAGGTACTGATCTATACGCTCGACTGCGACCAATTCCTGTTCTGTTTCAGCCACAGCATGAAGTAGATCTCCCAGTTGACCAGTTATGGAGAGAGCGTAGGAGATGCATAGGCCCACCAAGCCAGGATTGGTTGTGTGAGAGGCGGTAATGGCTGCCAGAAGACCTGCTCCTCCGACAAGCAGCGTTCCCAGCAACTGAAGTCGCAGAGCTAGCCATTGTTGGGCAGCCGACTGTGTCAACTGAGCCTTTATGCTCTCCTCTAGTTTCACTTGGAAATCCCGTTGAAACCTGGGACTAGCTCGCATACTCCTTATTGTCGTCAGTCCCTGTAGAGTCTCAGTAAAATGAGTGTAAAGCGGAGACATTGCATTGCTCGATAATCGTTTGATGTCCCTGGAGGCGTGCCGATAACGCTGCTGTAAGTTTAGGTAGATGGGCACCATGGGAATTACCACCAATCCCAGCCAAGGCATCGCATATAGGCTGACACATAGAGCTCCTACAAGGCCAGCAAGTTGCGCCAATAGAATATTCAAAATAAAGGGTAGGGAGTCGTCCACTGTGTTGGTGTCGGATGAGAAGCGGTTCAGAATGCGACCCACTGAGGTGATGTCAAAGAAGTTGAACTTAGCCTGAAACAACGGTTTGTGTTAAACGATTTCTAGAGATAATTAGGACCAGCAGCTACTTACAAACATGACTTTCTTTAGTAGCTTTTCGTGCATAAAGATGGCCGCTTTTATTCCAGCGTAGGCAAACAAAAACGCCCTGGCCAAAGTCACCAAGGAATTGCTTACAGCAATTGCGGTGAAGATGCTCAAATAGAATTTTGTTGTGTGCCCAGACACCGTTTCATTGCCCACAGTCGGTCGCATCAGCATGTGATCCAGGGAGGTGTCATTTGAGTGGGGATCCAAGGTGGTTTCAGTGACCCAATAAGCCAGCCAGGCATCACTTAAATTCCGTGTCAGTTGCATGAGTACTACTGATAGCAAAACAGCAAATGCCAGTGGGGAAGTCACAGCCTTCCAGTAGCAAGTAAAAACGTTTCCAGAAAGATGTCCGTACTCCCTTGATTCTTCCAAAAGTAGACTATCCACACTCTTTTTGTCGTCCTGGTGGTATAACTCCACCGAACGTCGCCTGGCCGATGGCTCCTGTTCATCGTCTGCGTCTTCATCCAGGCTTAGGTCAATGCTTTGGGTCATATATTCACTCGGAAGAAGTTGACCATCCTTCACCTGAAGGATCTGATTGGCGTGGAAAAATAATTGAATACTTCGTGTGACCACAATGCGCGTTTTGTGCTTAAGGAGTCGCAGAATACAGTGCTTAATAATATGCCTGGCCACATGGGCATCCAAAGAGGAGAGCACATCGTCCAGAAGGTAAACTGTCAACAGAGCAAGAAATTAGTAAATTATTTGCTTTCACTTCGGATATTAAAAAAAATCTATTGAAGAGGTTCTCACCTTTTTTATCCTGATAAACAGCTCTTGCCAGTGCAACTCTTGCTCTCTGGCCCCCGGAAAGTGTCCTTCCATTCTCACCGACACCGACAAGATCGCCTCCAAGGATTTGGAGATCCTCCTCCAAAGCACAGGCATGCAAAACAGTTTTATACCACTGTTCATCAAACTGGGCGCCCCAAACGATGTTATCCCTGATGGTGCCCCTTTGGAGCCAAGGTGATTGCGGCACATAACCAAATCCAGTGGTCAGTTCCTGGACGCACACCTCGCCATCGGTGCACTGCAGATTCGCTACAATGGCAGATAGAAAGCTACTTTTACCACCACCCACAGGGCCTTCAATGCACACAAGCTGTCCTGCTTTTATATCCACATTTATGTCCTTCATGCGGAACGCAGTTGGAGATGCCTGTTCATCGCTGTCGTGGCTGAAACTGGCGCACTTCATCTGCAGCACACTGGTTTTAGGAGCATCCAAAGGAGCATCATCTCCTGCCCCAGATCCCCCGCTTCCCCGCATAATGGGATTGTAGTACGACGAATAATCCAAATTGGGGACATCCATCAGTTGTTGGACTCTCTTAATGGAAACCCAGGCTTCAATTAAGCCGTTGAGCACCCATGGAAATGCGTTCAAAGGTCCAATGAGCATATAGAGCAAGGCCACGCTGGTATAAGTAGTAGAAGCTATCAATTGATTTCCCATTAGTACGGATACTCCAAAGGTAAGCAGGCACATAAGCACGGGCGTGGTGGCCCAAAAGTAAACGCACATGGCATCCAGATATTTCCTCTTCGATAAAAATCGCAGCTCCTCCTGACGAAGTCCTCGAATCTTTGTTATGAATATGTCCTCCCAGGCATTAAGCTTGATCTGCTTGGCTCCTTGCATTGTTTCCGAGGTGGCAGATAGTCTTGCATCCTTGGCCGTCATCAGACCACTTGAAAATATGCCTATTCTCTTGGCCAACCATCTATTAATTGGAATCAGAAGAGCAGCGAATATTACTCCCGCCAGAAAGGCTGCTCCTAGTTGAAGATACAGCAAGTATAACGTGGTAAACAGCTTGAAGGGAATGCTCCAGAAAAAGTGAAAGCTTATGCAGGAGTTTACAATCCTATCTGTATCCGTTGACATAAGATTTAACAAATCTGGCTTAGATTCCTTTAAGCCCCTCGCCTCCAGTGCTTTCCTGTATATGGAGTTGATCACTCCCACTCGCATTTTCATGGAAACCATTGCCATGCGCCAGTCGAAGTGGGTGGCACACAAAGCCGACAGCAATGTGCTGCCGAATAGACCCAAGGCATAATAATATACTTCATTGGAGTCTGCGTGGTCCTGTCGGAGTAGTCCTCCGAGCAGTAAAGGACCAGCAAAGCCACTCAAGTCGGCGATCAATCGAAGAATTCCAATAAGGTAAAATTCTACACCAAAGCATCTATGCAGTGCTCTCCATAAACTTTGCGATTGCGATAGAGCCAAATGCAACTTTTCGCTCAGTCGCGTTATATTCAGGGCGTCGGGGAGATCGAAAAGATCCTCAATCTTTCTCAGCTTTCCAGCCACTCCTTTTAGGATTAGGGGCTGAACCCAGTGGAAGAGGAAACGCGATCCCAAATTGGCATCGTCCTGGGCATGACCCAAGTGGCTCTCATTCAGATCGAATTGAAAATAAGTATATCGCTGGGATAGCAGAGCCTCATCCTCTCTGGCCGAGGCTCCTACTCTGGGCAAACTGGAGTAAACAGCATTTCCTTTTGGTATTAAGGTGGCTCCAAACAGGAGATCGCAGACCAGCGTGGCCAAGCTCCAGGGCCACCAGCTAAAGTGACGACTTGTCCGCAGCCACACTGCATCCAAAACCACTACTGTGAGCCAAACGACATTGATTAGCAGCGATCCCCGATGACTAAGCTCTCCATATTGACGGGCTGTCAGTAGAAAACCTGTGGGTGGGGGAGGAAGAGAAGCACTGATTATCAAAGGGGTCATAAATTATTGTTTAGCCTTATCATTTTGTTGCAGAATAATGTATTTCTGCTTTTCCCAGAAAATGTTGTATGTTGTGTGTTGTATATAACAGACAACGGAAAATGGTTTATAATTGTTAAGAAATAAGTAAAACAAAGGGAGTCGTAATTGTCTGAATAAATCTAGATAGGTGGAACGAAAGAACAACGTTGTATTGCGGATAAAATAGATATTCTTTTCAAAAATCTAGTTTAAAAGGGGTAAGCATTAAATTGATA